CCCGTTCTGTTTTAGTTCTTGCCTTCCTCAACTCACCATCCCTTCCTCCCTAATTTGTTGCTGTCGGTCCTTTGGCATAAAGCAGCAAAGCTTTTTACAATACAACCAATTATAGCTGGCTTTCCTGATAAGTGCACCAGTACTGCAGGTTGAGGTGGAAGGAGGCAGCTGGAAGTGATGCTAAATATCAAGGGTGTCTGCTCCACAGGCCAGAAGTAATTGCACTGCAGCAGCAGAGGAGAACACGAAAGAACAGAGATGCAGAGATTTCCTACTTTAATCTCTTCCACTCAGTTTTTTCTAAACTCGCTTTTTTGGAGGCACTTTAATCCTTGAAATCCCGTCTTTTTAAAGCGCTCTACCTTTCAAGTCAAGCACCACTTCAGTGTTTGTGTACATGAGATCACAGAGGCCATGGGTGACTTTGAGGTGACTGATGATCAAATGAGCCAGCATGTGACAAAATGGACTTTGGACTATTTTTTTTATTTTTTATTATTGATTTGTTGGTCGCTGACAGAAGTGTGTAAGTGGGAGCCACACGCATGATGGTTGATGCTGAATGTCTGCCTCATTTGCATTCTCTGGATGAGCAGCTGCTAATCTGGATGAGCAAGTGCACAAAAGCAGGCTTGTCCAGTATTCAAAATAGCAGCGGGAGCTACATCAGCAACGTGTAGCTCCAGCCAAATGAGCTACACACTGAAAACACTGAAGTGACTTCTCTGTTTTAGCCTCTCGCATGCAGCAAAAAAACATCAGTAGGGATTCCAGCTTACAAGTGAAATCCCACGGCTCTGACACCACGGCTCAGGGTGGATAAAGCTGGGGTGAACTTGGCGAAGACGCTACAGTGTGAGTAAGCGTCCACACACTCCGAGATGCCTCCTAATCCCTGCTGCTCTGCACGCATTGGCACGAAATCACCTTGAATGATTACATTTAAGACAGCTGCAGTCTGCATAAGAAAACAAGCAATGAAGAGGTTGACTGAAGGCTGAGAAAGCTACACCTGACCTGTCACTCGTTTGACTCACCACTCGGGCCTGCTGAATCACAATCAGCTGGGATGTGGCCTACAGTGTTGCGTTACAGTCGAGGTAAATTCCTTTCAATGCAGGTATCATTACATCCGTTGGTTTAGTAGCAGAGCAGCCAGTAATCCTGAGACTCAGTGCATGTGCAATATAAAGCACACCTCACTGTGCTGTCAGCTCTGAAAGATGCATAAGGTTTAAAGAGAAGAACTCAGCTGGAGCTTTGGCATCTTGAGCTGTAACGGTGCGTGCCAGCAGACCTCTGTTAACCATCATTCTCATGCCAGCTGAAGCAGGACAAAGATTTTAGATTTTAGAAATAGGCATCCCTCTACCCCCGCCCCAACCACCGCCAGTGTAGCTGCAGCTCTAAGCATCTCAGCTTTATATTGTGGTTATAGTGAGTCTATTAATAGCCACAAAGATAATGCATTTCTTCATTCATTCTTACACACAGCCGCCGACGCTTGTTGTTTGCAAGCTAGATATACACAAACACACAAGCACACAGTCAGTCACACACTGGGCCCTGTGAATAGCACCATCACTGTCTGAACACTGTTCAACAGGTAGATGTATCTGCAGCTGCAAGTCTGAGCCCAGCAGCACTAAGTTCACCTCCTTTTTTTCCATAATGAGTCGACGTGAAATTATCAGACAGACAGTGCAGTTGTTGATGGTGCAATCAGGCATGCCCATGCGCGATTTCACTGTTGCAAAAGAAGTAACACTTGCACTCATGCATTAGTCAGCCTATCGAGGTTGTGAAAGGTTTGCAACAGAACCAGAAAAGGACGTGTAACGTTTCAGCAGATTTCTTCAAGAAATAGGTGCCGTAGTTGAGCTCCACCATGCAGATTAAAAAGAAAAAAAGTGGCACCAGTGTTGTACTAACAAGTAAATAGGAGATTTCTTACCTTCAGAGTTTGAAGCGTCCCATGCTCTGAGAGGAGAGGCTGGAGTGACAACAGTTGTGGAGTGAGCTCTGATATGGGAAGCGTTACATCACCGTAACACTGTCGAACTCACAAAGTCTGTTCGGCGACCGAGTGTTAGAGTCAGCAAAGATGGGAGCCCGCAAGAAGTCATCAGATGATAAACAACTGGGGTCCGACCTCGGGGGGTTAATGCTGCTGCTGTGAACGGGCCATGCGGCTGTCTCCAAGTTCTCTAGTGGCGCACTCGGAAGCACGTTGTGGATGTGATGCGTGTTGGTGCAGCGGAGGCAGCCGAGCTCAGTTATCTGCTCGCAGCTGGAACGCGTGCCAGTCTTCTAGTGTTCCAGCTGTGCAGCTCACAAACACACTGCAGAGCCACAGTCCCGCCTATTGGTAGTATGACTGCAACACCGCCACAACCTGTCCACGGGGCTTTTCATCGTCTGATCGCTTTTCTGAGAGATCGAGGCGTCCTATCAGCCGGGATCACATATTTATTAAATGTGGACGTGTGTTACCTGAAAAAAAACTCATGAAAATGTAAATGTCTTGGAGAGTGAGTGCTGTTTAGCAGATATATATATATATATATATATATATATATATATATATATATATATAATGTAGTTCCATCCATCCATCCATCCATTCGCTTCCGCTTATCCTTTTCAGGGTCGCGGGGGGCGGCTGGAGCCTATCCCAGCTGTCATAGGGCGAAAGGCGGGGTACACCCTGGACAGGTCGCCAGTCTGTCGCAGGGCTAACACATAGGGACAGACAACCATTCACACTCACTCGCACATTCACACCTAGTGACAATTTGGATTAATCAATTAACCTATCCCCAATGTAGTTGTTTTTTTAAATTTTGGTTTATGCGTCGAAAGTTCAAAAGTCCTCCCAAAGATCCTTCAGGATATTTATTATTTTATACATAAATGTATTCATTTAATTATTTATTTCAGTCACATTCCTACAGCCCAGCTACCTGTTGCTGTAGATCACAGTTGCGTCCCTTCATTACGTCACGCGTTGCATTTAGGTCTCGCAGGAATAAGTATAAACAACAGAGAAAACATTAAATACTAAAAATACAGTATTTTGCTGAAGTAATTTAAGCACAGCCACCAAAAATTGTTTATTTGATAAGATTTTTTAGTAATATTTAAAAAAAAATCTGTTAGACAGTATTTTATAAATAAGCGGGACGACAGGTATAAATAATAATATAAATAATTTTTTATTTTCTTCTTATAAATAGAAAAATAATCAGTTAAATAAATCATACCACGTATTTTGATGTTAAGTCTAACCTACTTTCTTCATGTTCGGGTTTTACAGACCAAGGTTTAAATAATGCAACAAATATCGTACGCTCCGGGGTACAAGTTTGATGTTTCCGAAAACTTTGAAAGCAGCATTTCATGATTCCGCCCCACCAGGAAGACGCAGAGAGCAAGAACTAACCATAGGTGCGTTTAAAAAAAGAACTTTTCGTACATTTTACATGAAAAGAAAAGAGATAAATACTTCGAGGTTAGCCACACTTAACCGAGGTGTCTAATTACGAATGTATGCTAATTAGCTGTAGGCTAAGTTACACTGAATAGTGCAGAAATACTTTCTGTGGTTGGGGTTTTTCAAAAAGCAGAAATGCATTGTATGGTGTATTGAAATAACATACGTACAAGTATATCATATACATATATATACATATATAGATATATATCTATATCTAGATTAGTGACCAAACGTTTTTCACACTGAAAACCTTACCTCCAGATGATTGAGCATGCGCCAACACAACATATGAAATTGCAGTTCGGTGAATAGTGTGTTTTATATATAGTTTGAAATCCGACATAATATTGAAGAATTTCAGAATATTCTTACTGAACTAAACTTAGGTCCGTATGCATTCATTATGTGTTATAAGCAAATTCTTTCAAATTAACTAGATGAGGAGTTTTTGAAAAGTCCTGACAAATTAGGCCGTTAACACTATATATTTAGTCCCCCGTTTTTTACATTTTTATCGTAATGTTAATGTTTTAAAATATTACAAACGGGCCGGATGTGGAGCCGCTCTTTCTCAACAATATTTCAACAGTATTGTCATTTCATGGAATTTCCCTCTCTTGGATCACTCTCTTACAGGAACAGGGGTGAGGAGGCCAAGAGAGAAGGATTTTTTTCCTTTCCGAAAACAGCTAACTGCGTCTGTTTGCCACAATGGACAGTCGAGAGGTGGGAGATTTACTGGACGAGTGCCTCGGGGCAGCAGAAGCAGCAGGTCGGCAGTCCACCGGGGTTTCTGAGGCAGGGCCCACCACACAAGAGCGGCTGAATTACTGCAGCTGCAGAGGTCAGACACAAGATGGTGCTGTTTAGTGTTTTTTGAGAATGTGAGATACTCAGAGATTTGGGTCAGGATCAAAGGTGAGGTGGAATTATGCTTGCATAAGCTCTGTACAGCTCTGTAGCTTCCATGGTATGAATTTGACACTTTGTGATGTTAAGCATGTGCCTTTAACTAATGCGGGCTGGTGTCTCGCATCTTATAGGGTCAACACACACGTACTGTTACATCTTACTGCTAAACAAGGGACAAAACATGCTCCATTTCACTTAGATTTTTCATATAAATGATGTTTTGCTGCTTATTTTAGAATCTTAGACCTAAAACTGTCCAAGGCAGCTTAAACTAAGTCTAAGTAAATTAAGTCTTCCTTTTGGGAACTTCCTGTTATTGGTTCAAACAGCAGTACATTTCTAAACAGCAATCCATCCAGCTTTTCCTTGTGTTGCGTTGCGTTGATGTGAATCTTTCATGCTTTTTTTTGTATATACTTTTTCTAATGGTGGATGCTAATATTAACCATGGTCAAAGTTTCAAATAAAGAGGTCAGTTTATGTACTAGTAATCCCCGTGTAGCTTGAATGTAGTCACTTTAGGTAAAGATATTCTTTTGTGAATACATTTTGAAAGCATCAGTGTATCTTAAGCCCAATACTGTTTGCTCATCTGGGTTTTATTTCCTGTAGACTCGCTGTGTGCCGAACTGGCCTCCCTCCTGCAGGAAGCCATGGACATGAAATGGCCTTTTGCACCGGAGAAGTGGCAGTATAAGCAGTCTGTCAGCGCCGCTGACAAAACCAACCTCAATGACCTCATCAGCAAACACTTGTCTCAACTACTGGTAATAATTAAATAATAACCTATTCAGCTTGGCACCCTGTGGTGTCATTGTAAATAAAAATATAAGCACAATCCCAAACGTTGTGTTTACTGTGTCTGCCAGGATCTCCTGAAGGCCTGCATCAGAGCTGAGGAGGCACACTGTGCACTGGCAGTTGTCTTCTTAGTGGACCGTTACCTCTACTGGACTGATGATTCAAGCCGTCTGCTGAAGATTGCCAAGCTTCTCCACAGACGCTACCCCGAGACCCCCATAGCCCCCCAGCTGGTCATACGGCAGGCCAGGGTCTATTTTAACTCGGGTACAGTGCAGTGAAAGATTGGGATCGATGCTTTTAAAGTATTTTTTGTCTTCTCATCTCTGTGTGATATCAGTGACACGGGATTTATCTAATATGGTAATTTCAGCTACGCTGCGAGCACAGAAGCTCCACCCATCAGCTGTTCAAATCTTTTGTCTGCAGGGGGCAACAGATCAGTTTGGCATGTAGGGAGGGGTGAAAGAGCTAAAGCAGATTTTTTTTCAGACAGTGGATGGACCAAAGCAAAATAAGAAAAACATAATTTTTTTTAAACTATAAATCAAAGCCGTTCTTGGAGAGTGAAATAATAGCAATTTGGAGCTGGAAACGACTATATAAACTCCTGTTTGATACATGTTAGTGCTAATTATTGTTTGGAGAAATTATAGTGATTGACGTAAACTCATAACCTGGAAATTGCACATGAACGGCTCTCACTCCTTAGTTATTTTTGCCACATTTCATTAAAGGGTTATTTTAAGTAAGGCTTGTGCAGACCTGGGTAAATAATCATTATCTGCCCCACAGGAAAACTGCAGAAGGCAGAGTACATCCTGAGCAGCCTGATTAACAACAGCGGGACGACAGGTAGTTTCCTGTCTGTTCCTTTTCACGGACATTTATTGAGGATTAAACTGAGTCCACAAAGTAAACAAATAATGTGCCTTTATCTTTTATGTGCAGGTCATTGGATATACCACTCTGAAAGTGACCGGGTGCTCGTGCAGGCTGTGAGTGTTCAAGTGCGTGGCACGATTTTGCAAAAGCTGGGTAAGATCACTTTTGTGACGTTAAAGATAATTGTCATTATTTTGTGATTATTTTTCATTGTCTTTGTGTTGTGTTTTAGGCCTGTGGTTAGAGGCTGCAGAGCTAATATGGGCTTCCTTGGTTGGGTACTACTCGCTTCCTCAACCTGACAAAAAGGTACCACAGACAATATTATCAGTTGGTTGCCATAGTTGGCATAGTTGGTTGAGGTTTAAATCAGGGATGTCAAACTCATTTGACATTGTGGGACACTCTGCTTTGTGTCAGCTTAAAGAAGTTTAAGTACACATTTTATCTCTGGGATATTTGAATATAAGCAAAAGAAAGGTAACTTCGACATGATGAAGAAATGCTGCTGTGTGCTTTAATTGTAAGAAATAAAAGTGTAAAATTACAGAAAAGATTCTGTTAGCTCATCGGACAAATTTTCCTGTAATTAAAAAAATGGAAAATCTTTGTTAATTTACAGAATGTGCTTCGTTTTTATTTTTACTCTGAACGCACTGTAAAAATACTGCATTTCTATAGTAGATAATGATTGTGTCATTTAAGTGTTTATCAGATATTTGTTTTACTTTGGTGTTGTATTAATGGCCATGATGAAGCTGTAAAATCTATGAAAATACATTTAAAATATAAAACTTTTGTCCTCCTTCACATTTTCCAAAGCCATTAAGTGGACCAGATTGAAGTCTTTGACGCACTGATTCTGGTCCCCAGGCCTTATGTTTAATGTTTGACTATCCTGGTTTAGATGTTAGTCGGCCCAGTTTACACACTGTGATAAACCTCTGACCTGCAACTCTGTTTATTTTATAGGGTATTGGAACTTCCCTTTGTATACTGGCCAGTATATTGGTATCTATGAATAATGAGGACTTCCGTGCCTTTAGGACTAATCCAGATATTGATTTTGTAAGCCTGCTTCACAATCTCCATTCATTAGTTGTTTTTTCTAAAAAAAAATTGCTGCATTATTTATTCTGTCCATTTTTTCAGACGTTACTTGGGGATGGAAATCATCGTCTTCTCTCAGCAGCCCAAGCTGCTAAGATGGCAGTGGTATACACTCAGTATACTTCACTGTATGTTTTGACTAATGTGGTAAGTTACTTCTACTGAATAATCTCTGTCTACTTGCCTGCAATTGACCTTTAGAGTTCTAGTTTATCAGCATAGATTACTGACGCAGATAACTGAAACTTCCCCAGCATAACTAATTTGAACTAAGTTTTATTTCCTGCAGTGATAGAGAATCCTCATAGTCCAGCAAAAGTTTTATGTCTAAGCAAGTAGTTATCAGGCAATCCTCCATTGAATGTGTTTGCTGTTTTGTTGATAAAATTGAAATTTCCTTCCTGCAGACTTATTTTTTTGAGTCTGTCTAATTAGAACCCCGCTCAGGCATGAAATTGGCACTGCTGACTGATTAAATAATAGATAAATAATAATGACAATTATTATTATTGTTATAAATACCTATGCAAAAATAATGTATGTCAGATTTGTAGATAGTCTTGTTACGGCTCAGTTACACCAGAGTAGTCTAACAGCAAGCACCTTATGAATTTTTTACCTCCAGAGATGACCCTAAGTGACTGCGTTAACTGTCTGATCACAAAACAATTGCACAAGTTGCCTGGTGGGAGGCAACCTGTCTCCAAACAGTTGCGAACAGACTCAGACTGCCTGCAATCACTTTCAGACACACTGTTAAAGGTCTGCAAATAACTGCTGTCTAACTTATAAACACAAACAGCCAAAATGTTGCAATCAGTATGAGTCAGTCTGCTCTGATAAGTGCAACTTGTCCTTGACACGTTTCTTTGCATCACTGGGCTCAACTCAGCTGCTTGTATTCTGGTTGTAATCTGATGAAATTCCTATGTAAAGGTAAGGTTGCAGAGCGCCTTTGTCATTTTGCAGTTAATCTGCCACCCTGCAGCAACTGCGTCACTATTTGAGGAGGAATTTCCATTAGGTTCTGGTTGGACTCTTAATGTTAAGTAGTTACTGCAAAATTCTGGTTAACATGAATTTCTGCACTTATGTACTAAGGTTGAAATTCATTGCAAACCATGGCACATGTTTGCAATAATTTTGGTTGTTTTGTGGTCTTCATCTACTGTTTTCTCTAGTGTGACTGCAGGATTAGACAACTTATCCCCTTGAATGCAATGCTCCATCAAAAAAAGGGATTTTTAAAATGTTAATTAACTTCTTAACGATTTTTAAAGCCTGTATTTAGCCTGTGATAGTTTTTGTTTTTGCGATTTTGAATTCAGTACCACATGAGAACTGAGCAATGTTAACTACTGTGGTTAATCAGCTTGTCTTTCAACACTATCTGTGTTTGGGAACTGACGTGGAGGGCAAATAATTTTGTTGCTTGATAAAGCATTTTACTTTACTTGAGCAAGACCTTTGCCATATTTTATGTTTGATAACGTGTCAGGTGATTCTATTAGTGACAGCTTAGGACTCTTAGCATGCCAGTTAAGCAATCACAGTGCTGCACTGTGCTGCTGACATACCTGAAGAATGTGGTTTGGCCTTTTCATTCTGAAATAAGCGAGGCCTTCCTGAAAAGCAACGTGTTTCTCCAAAACCCAAAATGATATTGGTCCATATAAGAGATGTTTCAGTATTCTTTTACTGATGATAACCATGATATTTTAAAAAATAAATATTTTTATGTGGTTTTGTATAGTTACTTAGAGATTCTCCACTTTCCAACGCTTGTTTTTGATTGTGATTCATTTGCCTCCCAAAAAACATGAGTTAGAGATGAATTTGACTAATGCTTCTTAATCTGTAATTGTGGTTTTTAGCACTGATAATAACAGAGTAAAAATCTGGTGTCTGACAGCCTTAGTTCAGCATAAATAAGGCCTTCACAGAGATGCAAGTTTCACATGTGTGTAGCCATGTCATTGCTTTGTATAGTGTCCAGATCGCAGGCTGGATGGTTCCTCTCCTTTTAACCCAAAGGATGCAAAGTCAGTGATTCAGTCAGAAATATAAATTTTGATTAGTCAGTCAGACCACAGGAAAGTTTTCCCCTTTGCCTCAGTCCCAGAGGTAGGGGATATTCTGGATCCTGGTTTTCATGCATAGTTCCTTAACCCAGACACTGGTTTCCTCTAATGTCTAATAGTTCAAAGATCACAATCATTCAGTACTGGTTTTCACTTTTTCTCCCAACTTTTTAAAAAGACCTTTTTTGAATGTGTGACTATAGTGTGTGAATGGGTGGATGACAGGTTGTGTAAAGCGCTTTGGGGTCCTTAGGGACTAGAAAAGCGCTATACAAATACAGGCCATTTACCATTTTTTGAATATCATCATTTCGTTATGTCTTGATATGATATTTTCAGGTAAATAGAGGGTTTAAATGATTTGTCAGCTGTTTGCTTATATTTACATACAGTGACCCAACTTTTTTTTGGATGTATAGCACTGCGCAAAACTCTGAAGCCACCCCTCATTTCTTTATATTTTACTATGAAAATAGGAAAACCTGCAGTGAATTATTTAAACACGTGTAAACATACATGGCAATATAGTACAGAGGGCGAAACAGTACAATTCCACATTTATTCTTCAACACAGCCTGCACGCAGCTTTCTTCTAATTTGTTTAAGGAATTTTCGGGAACAGCTCTTCAGCATTCTAAAAGGACATTTCAAAGCTCTTATTTGGATGCTGGATGGCTTTTGTTCCACTGACCTTACAGTGTTTCAGTAATGTTGAGGTTTGGGTTCCATTATTTTGACAAGCTCACCAACACCACTGGCTTAAATGCAGCCTCAGTGACAGAGCCTACAGATGGCTATAGACCCTCGCTGTTGTACCTCTCTCCTGGCCTACTCTGTACAAATTGATGACAATTTGAACCAAAAATTTCACATTTGGATTTGTCACTCTGGTCGCCACTGATTTTCAGTGTAGTTTGTGTGTTATTTCCATTCCTATTCCCTTTCCATTCTTGATGAGCAAACAGTAGCTGGATCCACTAGTGGGCTAGATGCATCCCTCAGCTCCTATGTCAACCTTTTGCTGGATTTTTTCGTATTTCTTAAAGATAAGACTTTCAGAAAAAGTTCATCCACTGTAGATAGTTTTTTAGTCCTGACACTTTTTCTCTTCTCCAATTCTCAGTTTTTTTAATCACAAATCGCACACCATGGCAAGATATGCTAAGTAAAATAATAATATATGCCTGTCGAGCTGTGTTATCTTTGACCTTTTTCGCTGAATTAACCAAAATAATGGGAACAAATTATGTGTTTTTGTGACAGACTGCTAATAACAAAATGCCTAAAGATACAAAATTGGTTCTATGATAATTTTTCTGTTATGTGTAGACACAGTACTAGTACATGCATTGCATTAGGTTCTTCTTAATGCTTGAATACTGTCAGGTACAAGAACGGCACTGAAAATGAGTGAGTAAAGAAATGAGGGGTGGCTAAAGACTTTTGCACATAATGTAGGATCGTAAACGAGATCTTTCCTGTGGTTATGTAATTGTTCCTCTGTTTGTGTTTTTCTGTAGACAACCCACGGTACCTGCTTGCTATCATACAGTTTCTCTGTGGAGTGCCCAGATTCTCAAAGACAGTCATTTCTCCAGCAGGCACAAGAAGCATTTACAATTGGCCTTCTCACCAGAGCAGAGGGTGATCTGGTAACCAGCAAGCAGGAGCTTCATACCTTTCTAAAAGCTGCCTATTCCCTCACTGTCACTCACAAGTGGCTTGGAACTCCTTTGGAGGTTGTAGCACAGGCAGTTCAAGCTTGTCAAAATGCTTTATCTAGTTTTTACAGTTACTGCCATGCTGGTACCCAAGACAAAGACAGCCTGTGCACTGAGATCATGCACCTGGTCACCCAAGTCAAGCTGCTTCTCCGAGTGGAGCCTTTCCTTAATTCAGACAAGGGGTCTTTTGTCCCTGACAGCTACAGAAATGTCAAAGACACCTCTGTAAATTTTACTCATGCAGGTTTCGCTAAGATAATGAGGCGGTTCCAAAAGTATCACGAGTCACTGTGTGAGACCACTAACACACACTGTAGGGATGCTAAAGATGAGATAGAGATGGACAGAGGAAGGCCGTGTATAACAGCGCTTTGGACAACCACTAGCACACTCAACACAGAGGCTCAGGGAGGCTCACATTCATCCAGCGTGCATATGCCTCAAAAGCCTGAAAGCACAGATATCCTTGGCTCCTCGTGGCAGGAAGTGTCCATAACAAGTTCAGGCTCTCCTCAGCCCAGCAGAAGTTATACAGGAAGCAGTGCTATTGGACATAGAGAGGGAGCGACCAATCAGAGCTGTCTACCCACAGAAGATGATGAAGAAAGGTCAGACGACAAGTCACAGTCTCCCCATGAAAACAAGAAGCGAAACTTACAGGGTTGTAACTCTGGTGTCAGTTCTGCACTACCTGCCACTTCCTCCTCCAGCATGAGCAGAGATTCAGAAAACTTTCAGATGATAAAAGCTGAAATAGAAACGCTGACCTCTGAAGAGGACGTGATGTCTGGCGTTGCTGAGGCAATAGCTGAAGGAGTAGTGCAGTCCTTATCCCAGCTATCTATAACATCCTCTTGCTCCCTTGGGGACAGTTTCAGTTCCCAGTCATCATGGGAAAAACTTTCAGCTGATCTGAATTCTCCCACATACAGGAAACCACAACCAAGTAGTATTTCCAAAGCAGGAGCTTGCCAAAACAGCGATTCACCAGATTCAGATGGGAGCTTCTTCATTTGTGAAACGGTCGATTTTGAAACAGATGATTCCCCTTCTGATCACATGAGCAAAAACCAGAAAATACGTGCTTTATTAAAACCACAACTGATCAAAAGCCCCAAAGTTTACCAAAATGCGGAAACTGAAGTACAACCTGCAACAAACAGCACTTTAGCAATGCAAAATAGTCAATCTCAGGCTGTCACAGAACTGTTACCTGTCACTGAAACCTCTACAAAGAGTTCATTTGGAGTCCTGGAGGTAAACCAAAGTTGTTGTCAACAAACTGAGGTGCAGAATGTGCCCCAGAAGAAGAACTCCATGTGCTACAGCTGCCTAGACCCAAGCACTGTAGCTGATGTTGTCCCTATGAAACCCTTCTTGTTGTCACAATGGGATTACCGAGCCCTTCTGGCTGGCATTTGCAATGATTGTCTGCTGAAGAGGTTGCACAATGATGAGAAAAAATTCAAGTTGGAGCAGTACAAAACTGCCCACAGTAAGTTTACATTCCTGCTCTTCCTTTGTCACCATCAGTACTTTCTGTGAGCTGCAGAAGAACTATGGCTCTAGGGTGTCAGCATCATTCTGTCACTCTAGATAAAAATATCTTAAATGTAAAATATATTATGTATGATCACGCGTTGGATGGATTACTGTGAAATTTTAAACACTCACATTCCCCGTCCCCAAACGATATATTCTACTGTCACTTTCCCTGTAGTGACACCATGATGTTCACACTTGCTGTTTTGAGTGAGGTGTCTCAACGGCGACTGGATGGATTCCAGCAGAGTTTGGCACAGATATTTATGTTCAGCACTCGTGATATTTCCATTGCTTTGATTTCATTTTGCACCATTTTTTTCCAGTTCCCCTTTTAAATTTATACTTGGAATCTGATTCTATAGTTTTGCATGATTCACATTTATGACAATCCTTATTTTCTTTCTACACTGGGCTGCACCTCACTTCATACATAGCAGTTCTGACTCCTTTAAGCCTCCCTCGCTTTCTTCTGATTAGCTGCACTCTCATAAATAGGAGGTTTAAAACCATATAAGTAGGGCTTCTGTGCTCACACCCAGATCTATATGCTATATATATATCATACAGATCTGGCTATATAAGAATTAGACCAATTACCACCTTCACAGATGGCTTGGCTTTAGTTTCTTATTCAATGGGCTACATCCATCCATTTTCTTCCATTTATCTGGAACCAGGTTGCAGGGGCTGCAGCCTAAGCAGGGAAGCCCAGACCCCCTCTCTAGCTACCTCCTCTACCTTATCCAGGGGAAACATGGAGGCGTTCCCAGACCAGCTGAGAGATATCATCTCTCCATTGTGTCCTGGGGCTGCCCCTCCCTCCAGAGCTCACCCAGGAGATGCCAAGGAGGCTTCCTTATCAGGTGTCCAAAGCACCTCAGCTGGCTCCTTTCGAGCTCAGTCATCTAGAAGAGGCTCTGAGTAAACCTGCTACTCTTCCACATCGAAAGGAGCCAGCTGAGGTGCTATCTCTAAGGCAAAGACCAGACACCCTACAGAGAAAACTTATTTCAGCCACTTGTTCGTTCAGTGTCTACCCAGAGCTCGTGACCATAGGTCTATGTCCCCATTTAAGGGACTGAGATGATCTTTTTTTTCCATGAAAATAAGCACCAATGAGTTCAGCAGGCGGGTAGCTTTTATATATCAACCCCAGCCTTGTCTTACAAAACAAAAAAGCTTGTATTTGTCTGTTGATCTCTATCTAGGTGCTCTCCATTTAAAGTTCTCCAAGGCCACCGGACTGTGGACAGCCATGGAAACTTGTGTTTACATTGGTGACTCAATGGGGGAGAAGGGCGCGCAGAGAACAACAATATGGGTGCAGTTTTTACACCAGGAGGAGCGGCTAAGCAAGTATGGTAGCAATCTTGGTTCAACCTAAATATGGTGACTTGAAGTCTCATCTTTTTCCTGTATTTGTCCTTAGATATGTGGGGAAAGATTACTTGAAGCCAAAGCTGATCCAGTTTCCTCTGAAAGATGTGGAGCGACAGATGACAGCCCAGTACTATGTGACTGAATTCAACAAAAGTCTCTACGACAAAGAAGTTATGGCTCAGATCTTCTTTATTCCGTCAGAAGCCCTGTTGGTGAGGGACTGCTGGAAACACTTATTTAAAGGAATTCAAGATAACAAATGTTGCATTCAAAGTGCTTACTTTGTAAAAACAGCTTTAATAGAAGCCCACATCCAGAGTTTGGTACAGACTGCAGCAGCTTGAAATGTAATACTTTCAGTTTAGAGCTAGAAATCTGTTTTGTGATATAGTCAAGCAATTATTCTGTAGGTTATTAGTCTAGGAGGTGCTATGATCTGCAAATTTTTACAATTTAATTCTGTGTGGAAAGTATTTATTAAATTGGGCCAAAGACAGAGAGCCTTTATCATTATTCACTGAGTGTAAACCAGACTGTGTACTGCCATTTATCTTTATAAACACAATACAACAGTACAACAATGTGTGTGCTGAGAGCCAATCACAAACCCAAAAGACACATAGAGCCAATGGATTACTGAGATTAGTAACATTTAAATACAAAGATTTATTTTAGTAATATTGTTGCTACCAGTAGAATCCAAACAGTCTTCAAATGTTACAAAATGTCTCTCTTGTTTTCCGGTGATCAGATTCTGGATGGAGATGAGATTGTGGGCTGTGTAACCGTGGAGCCCTACATGCTTGGAGACTTTGTCAAACTGACCAACAACACTGAAAAGAAGGAGAAGATGTTCCATGCTACAGATTATGGCCTCGCATTTGGACACTTCACCTACCTGTTCTCTGGTGGCCAGGAAGTCGTTGTAGATTTACAAGGTGTGTGACATCTGCTGCTTTTCACTGAACGTAATATTGTCACATGACAAAGATTAGTAGTCATCCATTTATTTTTTCACAGGATGGGTGACAGCCAACGGCAAAGGACTGACCTACCTCACAGACCCACAGATTCACTCCACCAGGATCCCTAAGGGTCCTTCTAACTTTGCTGCCAGAGGGCTCAGTTTGTTCCTGAAATATCAGCATGGACCTGAGTGCAATCAGATTTGCCACCTGCTCAAACTACCTCCACTGGACCCAAACTCAAACGTTTCTCCTCAAAAACTTTGAGACGTTGGACACTATTTATTGCTATCCACAAAAAACTGAAAATTATTTAAGGGGCTTGTTTTGGCAAGTTTTTGGAACTGACTGCTTTTCTTTTTTTAAAATGTACCGATAAATGCACTGTGCACCCTTTTCTTGGAATGCTAGAAGTGTAACAGATTTACAAAGAGCTTTTGGGTGCTACATTTAGTTACAAGAGAGTCACAAGGAAAGATGATTTGATAAGAGAAAAAATATTTTTTTAAAGATGTTATCCATCACTGTCTCCTCTCTATGAGTGGATTGCTGCCTAACTGGAAAGGGAGTGAATCACCTGATGCTGTTTGAAGTGGTTTTGAATGCTATTATGGAAGATTTTAAGTAGTCTGTCCTTTTACTGGGATATAAAAACATGTTGTGTTTGGGGTCTGGGGCCTTTATTTGTGGTGCTGTCCCCCAATCCACTCCTCTTAGACTGAAAAACGATGCAATATCCCAGGGCTGTAAAATCCCTCTATTGCTGTGCTTGCTTGGTAATGTTGCACAACTTGACAAAATGTCTCATAATGCACATCCGCATAACCACACAATGCGTTCATGCACATGTGACTCCCACACAATTCTAATGACATGTAAAATATGCAAATATGTGCAACTGTTGTATTGTCTTCTTTTCTTGTTTGTATCACTGCATATTTTGTCCTTTTGTAACAATATAGATAAAAAATTAATTAACTTTGATGATAAAAGCCAGCAATGTTTAGTGAACTGTAAAATCTGTGTAAACAGGCTACATGAAGATGATTATTGTGCAGTCTTCTCTACTGAAATGTTTTTGGTGCATATGGTCCAGTAAATGAGTGATAGATAGATGTTTGAAAAAGATACTTTATTGATTGCACAAGGGAAATTGATGTGTTGCAGCAGCACGATGAAGGGTACAGTCTACAATAAACAGCACAGTTAAAAAAAAGGGCCACAGGTGCCTGGTAAGGGCCTTATACTATGAGATAGTGCAGGAATTTATATATTTACAACAGTGATAAAAAAACAAAGAAAAAGAAAAATGATGTTAGTAAGACTGACGTTTGTAAGGGAGAAGTGCAAATTGCATTAATAAATAAAATGTACAAATTAAATCGTGAGAAAAAGCTGCATGAAGGTATAATACAAAAATGTGTTTGGGACCATACGCCTGACAGGTGTGGCACCTGTCACAGAATGAAGAGTTGTTACTATACAACTTTACAGAGAGTGGTAGGAATGAGTTCCTGCAGCGTGCTTTATGGCAGCGAGGTTTATGTAGTGCAGAGACAATCAACTAAAAATGGCTTCTGACAACAGAACAGTACCTTGTGTAGCAGATCCACCATTAGTTGTGTACCTGTGTGTGTGTTAACAGGTCAATAAATGGAGCCCTTTGCAAAGTGCTTTGCAAACTGCCAATGGGGAAAAGTGTAATGTAAATATAGTCCATTTATCTTTACAAGGGGTGTGCAACATGGTCAAGGTGAATACAGTAGAAAGACCTGACTGACATCATTTCAGTGCGACACATGACTGCTGCAGGTCTACACCTGTAGGTCAGATACCCTTGTAACTGTTGGTGTTTGTTCAATTTCCAAATGGAAAATGATAACAGTAGAAATGCTCTGCTCGTACACATTAAAAACATCTCACAAGGTGCATTACTGAGTCAGCCAAGAGTAGAATTATTAGGAGGATGACAATGATGAAAGCAAAAACAATTCGGAGAATCTACACTGTAATACTACACATAGCATAACTTGCAAAGGATGTGTGTGAACTGCAATATTAGAAACGCCTTCTTGTATAGCACAAGTTTTGTATAGGCTTATATATGTAATTAATGCATTTTAAAGTAGTAGGTTTGTAAGTTTATCTAAAGCTGTCAGGTGGTTAGGTCTGCTGACAGCAGTCACACACCTCTACAGTCACATGACAGTGATGTCATTCATGCGCACATGTTTACCCGTCCCCATTCGGCCAAAATCCTGTTCGGGCTTTATGAGCTGCCTTCTTTTGTAAACACAGCATGCTTTACCCTTGGCCCACTGTGCGCAGTATGACACAGTATCACTAAGCGCTGTTGTGAATATTCGACTGGAAATCGGTGTATTTTTTACGTTTGTCCTCACTGTAAGTGCACTGTATGAATAGAGTTGGCATAACATTATAGGCACCTACAGATAGAAGAATAACACCGATGGTCTCTTCATCGTGGCAGACGTTAGTGGGTGGGATATGTTAGGGAGCAGGTGAATATTTTGCCCTCAACGGTGTGTTAGAAGCACGAAAAACTGCAAGCGTAACGATTAGCGTGAGTTTGACGAGCGCCAAACTGTGACTGTTTGGAGACTGAGTCAGAACATTTCCAAACACTGCAGCTCTTGTGGGATGTTCTCAATCTGCGGTGGCCGGTGTGGGTATCTATGAAAAGTGGTCCATGAAGAACAGTGGTGAACCAGAGACTCGGTCGTGGACAGCCAAGGCTCACTGATAAAACGTGGGGACGAGCAATGGACGAGCTGCCGTAGCTCAGATTAAATGTGGTTCTGATAGAAAGATGTCAGGATACAGAGTGCATCACACAATATGAGGCAGGTGGTCATAATGGGGATATGTTTCACTTTGGTTGCAGAATTTGTACATTTGTAAGCATTTACAGTCTACACACACTCTGCTGTATGAGTCTCTTGCCCTTGGAAAACATTAACCAGCTTTCCTTTTATGGGCTTACACTGCAACCTCACCCTGACGACACCCGAAACTGAACTTGAGCCCTCAGATGTTGGTTGAAAATAAAACGCGGAAGCATCTAGGCCTGTCTGGTCATCTGTCAGCATATATAAGGAAGTGCAGCTCCTCTAGAGCAACAGAGACTTCGCAACTACCTGTGAGAAAGTCTGCGGATTCCTCGAAGATGAAACTCTTTGTGGTGTTAGTGTGCGTGCTGGCAGGCTGCCTGGCAGAGAAACCTCGCCCATGCAGTAAGTAAAAAAGGAAATCGGAGACGAGCTCTGTTGTGGTTACAGTGATAGCTCACTGTTGGGTTCTCATTGCTGTTTTCTCTCGCTGACTTGTAAATATTAATAAATAATTCTGTTTTCTCTTATTTCACGCAGAAAGCCCTCCCTTTCTGACTGGAGCCCTCACTGTTGTGAGTTTATGCTTTGTGTACTTAAAACTTTTGCTATTGCTATTAATTATGAGGGAGAAATGAGCCTCTGTTGTTGTTGTGCATTAGCAATGTTTGATTGAAACATAAAATATGACCCATTGTTTAATGTTTGGGTGAACAGTGGGTAAAAAGCATTTAAAAAAGAATAAAAGTGTGTCAGCCACTGCATCAGAGTTAGGAATGAGGTAGTCTTGTGGTGTAGAGATACAAGTCCAGACATTTCAGTGCTCAGGTCAAGGTCCAGATTGGTGTTTATGGCGAGTGAGCACGTCCGACAGTGTGGAAAGCAAACAAAGAAAATGAAAGTTGTACTTGAACCAAACGTGCAACCACATTTAATTGTCATTCATATTCTGTGTGAACGAGAAAGATGTCAACCATCTTGCATTCTGTTTCTCCAGTCCACACAGAATGAAAAGCTGTGGGTTTATGCCAAATACCTGTACGATGCATGGGGACAAAGGGTCCGGCTCATGGAGCTGGGGAACTACCAGAACAAGTCTTTCACCTATGACGCCCTGCTGCTCTTCAGAGAGGTGACCAAAGCAAACACAAGAACGTCTCAAATATTTGTTTTAGTGTGCAAATCACTGCTGATACGATTCTACTGAAGTGGAGACGCATGAGGCCAACAACACAACATGTTATAAGAAAGTATTTTCTTTCCTTAATGTTTTAATGGAATATAATGGGAACTAGTAAGCATGTGCAACTGACGCAATAAAAAGCGGGCCATATTTTTTTTTTAAAAAACAAACAAAAACCCCGACAATGACAGCACATTTAATTCGTTTAAGGTTAGCACATCTTTCTCGTGATTAGAATAGATATTATGGCATAATTTTGGGTGTGAGCACCCATATATGTTATTTCTGTGCTAGGTTTTGATTGTTATTTCCATCTTCAGCAAACAGAAGTTACTGAAATAACCATCATCTTTAGACTGAATCATATTGTATGTAACAGCAAAAGAAATTCTCATTCTTACCCCACAACTCATGCACCAGGCTGCCATGTATGAGATCGACGACAAAGCTCGTACGTGCAAGAAAAAGCCTCTGAAGGCAGACTTCCATCCTATGGAAATCCCAATAAATTCAACTCTGGTGGGCCAAGCCATCCTGGGCAGCTCATCTGGACCTGGTGAAGGACTCCTGGTCAACACCTGGACTGGAAATCTTCCTGGAAACACAGGTGAGTTGGCATCTAATGTTCAGAACTGTCATCCTGGCTGTTTATCTGCACTCTGTTTATGGACACATTTCATGTCTGTCCTTCCAGGAAAGTACCTGACCACCTTCACTGAATTCGGATGCATTCCAGTCAACACTATGTACCAGACACAAGAGTATGGATGGATGGTGACAGGGTTCGTTTCCTCTCAAGTCTATAGTGTGAAAAATGTAGAATGAAATACGTTTGCGTCCGTCCAAGTAAAAGCTGTGTCCCTTTTTTTGTGCTCACCAGCTTCTTCAACAACGTCGTTGGGATTTCTGACCCCGGTCAGCTCAACCCCCCCGACTTCTGCCCAACAGAGATGACGTCGAATGGAGAGCAGCCTGAAGATTTCATCAGCTTGTTCTTTAAGCTGCAGTGAAGGCTTCGGCGGGCTTTTACCTTACGCAGTGCACTGAGATCACCAATGTTGGAAATTGGCATTATATAAGTAAAAATGAATGGCATGTAATTGCATGTAAAATGCTGTCTCCCCCGTATTCCTGTTTGAAACATGGAGGACGAGTTTGGCCTCATTGTTCTTTCTGTGTATCTCTAACCGGGATGAACTTTGCAATCTTTTTGGCATGCAGAAAATGATAAAGCGGTTCGACAAATCATCTGGTTTGGTTTGGTTTTTTTGTAACAGGTTATTGCCTGTTATATTTGCTTTTCTTACTTCCCATTTTCTAACACTGTGTTGTGGCCACATCTTGTGTTCATCAATATAAATGTAACGCATGAATGCATGCGGTGTATTTCTTGTTTCATAAGAAAAGGTAAAGAAGGATGTATTCTCACAATCTGTCTATTGACACAAAAAAACCAACATGTGACTTAATGGTTTCAAGAGGAAAAAAAAAGTCCTGGAGGATCAAAAGTCTTTATGTTTAATGCCTACCTTGCTGGTTTCCAGTTGTTACTTGCTTTCTGGGTTGGTTCACCAGAGAGGTGACACTAGTCACCTTTACCAGCAGACATAGTTTTTAGCTTATTAAAGTAGTTTGTGTACATATGAAGTGGGAGTGGTTAAGGTTACAAATGCTGCTCTTTTACATCTACATGCAGTCTATCCTCTCAACTTTCTCTTCAGTCAGCCTTCTAGCTCCTCCCCTTGGTTTGTTAGTTAGGGGTCAAAACAGCTAAAACGCAGTTTCTACTATTAAAAGACATTCCCCTTGACTTTTATTCTCACATAACTGGCGTATTGAGAAATGACAAACAAAAAACTTGGCAGCGAAAACAGAATGGGAGTATCACCTGCTTGTTTTTTAAGGAAGTGATATTTTTGAAGCGGTGTCATATGAGCAGCTGTTGCAGAGGAAAACATTCAGATCTGCAATCGAACAGCATGAAGGTCCTCGTCCTGCTTGTGTGCCTGTCCGTGGGCTGTTTCGCTCAGAGACCACGGCATTGCAGTGAGTACGCAAACATCTGAAGAAAGTCCTCTTTCTTCAAATGTCTCCAAATGCTTTAGCGTCAGAACTGATGGTGCCGATTTGTTTTTGCTTCAGTGTAGAATGACCAAGTTAGCAATGTAGCACATCTGTAGTGTAAATCCTCCAAAATGCTTTAATTTTCACAGGATACCCGCCACTGATGAGCGGAAGCCTGTCTGTGGTAAGTCTCCTCTCATATCCCTCGATTACATTTGAGTGTTGCAATAACAACTGATACCTAATGCAGTTGTTAGTTATTCAGAGTAATCTGTGAGAAGTAATCTGCAATGACGAACATCTGCCTCTGTTTGAAAGTCCACTGCAAATCAGAAACTGCTGGCATTCTCCAAGTACATCTATGATGGACTGGGAGAGCGCATCCGCTTCAGACAGTTTGGACTCTATGACAATAAGACCTACCACCTTGATGTGCTTCTACTGTACAGAGAGGTAGCGACGGCACAGCAGTAATATTTGCATTCAAGTTTATCCTGGATACCATAAATGACTGTGTAATGGTGCCCTGTCCTCTAGGGTGTTATGTACAAAATAAACAACAAGAACCGCACATGCACTAAGCAGCATCTGAGCCCTGACTTCCACCCGCTGGCAGTTCCAAGAAATGCCACCCTGATGGGCCAGGTTGTGTTGGGCGCCTCCTCTGGTCCTGGACAGGGAGTCCTGGTCAACAGTTGGTACGGGGAGGAGAAGACGAAGACGGGATCAGGTACAATAAGAGGAAATCAAAGCGAAAAATTGCAAAGTCATGTGTTAGTTTGTAACACATGACATTCTCTTACATAAGCTTGTGTTGATCACAAACAAACCTGCTTGTCTGGTTGCGCTGTCTCGGCTCCCATGTGATCCACTTCTTGTTTCTGCAGCCAAGTACTTTACCACTGTCACCCAGTTTGGATGCATCCCCGTCAGTACTCTGTACCACACCAGCAGCGGTGACTGGGTGGTCAACAGGTCAGTGGGCAGAAGGCTTTTAATATTGTTCTAGAACTTTCATGCATGTTTCCAAAACTATTTGTCACGTTGCGTTTTTTCCCTTAATATTTGCCAGTAAAAACTGAACTGGGTCCCTCAGTAGGGCACTGGCTTTTTCTCACACTCTAAAGTCTCTGAGAATCTGTGATCCTGGTTGAAGAAAACTGTTGGCATCCTCTGATTCATTTTGCTTCATTTTTTTCTGTTTTTCAGCTTCTACAACAATGTCATTGGATTAGTCGATCCCCAAAAACTCAACCCGCCATTTTTCTGCATGAATGCTGAGCAGGGGGATGAAGACGAGCCAGTAACATTTCTCAGCTTGTTTAAAGAATGATTTTACAAATGGTGGTGACAATGATGATGATGAGTCACTGAACTGCGTTGCTGCCATTCATAAACAAGCTTCATTTGGTTAAAATTCATGCTAATATTTAATCAGAGTATTTTCATACATATTTTACATTCATCAGATTGAGCAGCGTTTCCTCTAAAATCTATTTTTAATCACACTGTTTCTCTTTTTTAATATTTTCCCATAACAGTTTATCGGTTAAATTCGTGTTTTAACATTTATGTCATAAGAAAATAAAAACAAATTCAGAAAAGTCGAGCCTGATACTTTGTTCCTGATACTTTTTTCACTGATCTGCACAAACTGCAGTAGGAGTGTGGCAATAATCAATGCTCACAGACCAACAACGCAAACACTAAAGGCCACTGGTATGTCCCACTGGGTGGCATGTTGGCAAAGTTCAGGAGTGTCACACCAAAGAAGATCCTGAAGCTGAAGAAGCATTTTGTCATTCCCACTTCAAGAAGACTTCAAATGAATATTTTAACCTCACACCTTCCACAACAAAACTGGACAAATCAAGAAATAAATCTATTGGCATACATTCTGCTACTTTCCAGATGTTGCAGAGCGTGGTGTAAGGGTATTGCTACACCCTGTCATCCACTGATTGACGGGGGGGTAGGCAAACTGAGGGCTATCGGCAGTGTCTTGGGCCATGTGGTTGATGTGTGTGAGAACCAGTTTTTCGAGGCATTTCATGGCAATTGGTGTGAGTGCCACTGGCCTGAAGTCGTTTAAGGTGGACATGTCTGGTCTTTTGGAGACTGGTATGATGGTGGAGGATTCGAAAACGCATGTGACTACTGCCTGACAGGTTGAAATGCACAATGCACTGTTACCTCCCAACAAGCATCCCTCATCATCATTTCTTTGTGGCGTTTCTCTCTGTGTGTGAGTAGTCCAGCTTCTTCCCACAGAGGCATTAAAGCCTCAGTGGGGTTAGGTTGTTTTGCCCATAGGTGTGAGCGGTTGTGTTTGTGTTAGAGAGACACCTTTTCCACCCACCCACCCTCCCAAAAAGCTAGAATTGGATGAACCGAATGACATTTGTAATGTATTATGTAAAGCTGCAAGGTATTTACAGTGGGGCAAAAAAGTATTTAGTCAGCCATCGATTGTGCAAGTTCCCCCACTTAAAATGATGACAGAGATCAGTAATTTGCACCAGAGGTACACTTCAACTGTGAGAGACAGAATGTGAAAAAAAAATCCATGAATCCACATGGTAGGATTTGTAAAGAATTTATTCGTAAATCAGGGTGGAAAATAAGTATTTGGTCACCTCAAACAAGGAAAATCTCTGGCTCTCACAGACCTGTAACGTCTTCTGTAAGAAGCTTTTCTGTCCCCCACTCGTTACCTGTATGAATGGCACCTGTTTGAACTCATCATCTGTATAAAAGACACCTGTCCACAGCCTCAAACAGTCAGACTCCAAACTCCGCCATGGCCAAGACCAAAGAGCTTTCGAAGGACACCAGGAAAAGTATTGTAGACCTGCACCAGACTGGGAAGAGTGAATCTACAATAGGCAAGCAGCTTGGTGTGAAAAAATCAACTGTGGGAGCAATCATCAGAAAATGGAAGACATACAAGACCACTGATAATCTCCCTCGATCTGGGGCTCCACGCAAGATCTCATCCCGTGGGGTCAAAATGATCATGAGAACGGTGAGCAAAGATCCCAGAACCACACGGGGGGACCTGGTGAATGACCTGCAGAGAGCTGGGACCAAAGTAACAAAGGTCACCATCAGTAACACACTACAACGGCAGGGAATCAAATCCCGCAGTGCCAGACGTGTTCCGCTGCTGAAGCCAGTGCATGTCCAGGCCCGTCTGAAGTTTGCCAGAGAGCACATGGATGATACAGCAGAGGATTGGGAGAATGTCATGTGGTCAGATGAAACCAAAGTAGAACTTTTTGGTATAAACTCAACTCGTCGTGTTTGGAGGAAGAAGAATACTGAGTTGCATCCCAAGAACACCATACCTACTGTGAAGCATGGGGGTGGAAACATCATGCTATGGGGCTGTTTTTCTGCCAAGGGGACAGGACGACTGATCCGTGTTAAGGACAGAATGAATGGGGCCATGTATCGTGAGATTTTGAGCCAAAACCTCCTTCCATCAGTGAGAACTTTGAAGATGAAACGAGGCTGGGTCTTCCAACATGACAATGATCCAAAACACACCGCCCGGGCAACAAAGGAGTGGCTCCGTAAGAAGCATTTGAAAGTCCTGGAGTGGCCTAGCCAGTCTCCAGACCTCAACCCCATAGAAAATCTGTGGCGGGAGTTGAAAGTCCGTGTTGCTCGGCGACAGCCCCAAAACATCACTGCTCTCGAGAAGATCTGCATGGAGGAATGGGCCAAAGTACCAGCTACTGTGTGTGCAAACCTGGTAAAGACCTATAGTAAACGTTTGACCTCTGTTATTGCCAACAAAGGTTATGTTACAAAGTATTGAGTTGTATTTTTGTTATTGACCAAATACTTATTTTCCACCCTGATTTACGAATAAATTCTTTACAAATCCTACCATGTGGATTCATGGATTTTTTTTCACATTCTGTCTCTCACAGTTGAAGTGTACCTCTGGTGCAAATTACTGACCTCTGTCATCATTTTAGGTGGGGGAACTTGCACAATCGGTGGCTGACTAAATACTTTTTTGCCCCACTGTAGATGTTTCTCATAAATAAATCTGAGTAACATGAATTAATAAATCAGAAATAATATCTGAATGCGGGAGATCCATCACTGCCAAAAAATATTAATTTGATTGGAAACCATTAATGTGTCTAGCTGATGTTTTTTCTTCCCTTTTCTTTCTTCCCTATTGTAGTGCACTGTAACTTTGGTACTTTGTACCTAGAGCTACTCTTCTGTTTACAAAGAGGAAATGAGCAATGTGGTCGCGACCTGGAAAACACACTGCCACAACATCACAGCAACTCTCTATATATAAGTTAGATATATATAGAAGTACTTCCATAATATGATCGCCCAAAACTACTGGGCTTTAAACATTATTAACGTGTACCTAAAACTGCCGTCTCCAGGCCTGGAAATGTTTCTACTCTACTCTACATGTCTTTTAAATATTTTTCTAAAAGAGGCATATGTGTGATGTAAGTATAGAGAACATTTACTTTGCAAATTGTATCACAGTGTTGTGTTCTGCTGGATGGGATTGAAATCCTGGATGCTGGGTGCCTGCTGGCCACTAGATGGCAGTGTGTGACAAGTAATGAAAGAGAGAGACTTCCAAATCTATGCAACTCAAACATGAAACACTGATTTACAGTTCAGAGATGATATTACACAAAGAATTATATTAATGACAATTGTGTTGTATTATTTTATTTATTTATTGGAGTAAAAAGTTTCAGTTATAGAGCAGGGTGAGGGGTCACCTGGTAGCAGTAGTAATGGATCCCCCTTAGCTCTCCAACTTCCTGCACCCCAACATCTGCTGTCATCACTCCCGGATCCTGTGCAGCCGTCTCCAGCCAAATAAGCCTGGAGTCAGGGTCCTCATCAGAAAACTGGAGCAAGGACCCTGAACTCCGCAACACCCTTAAACACTGCTTCAAGACCAGGCTGGCATTTCGCTTCCCCTCCCTGGACCTTAACAAGGCATCAGTGGTCCCCTTGTCAATTATAAGGTCCACAGTACTAGGACTGAAGCGTTTATCAAGCTGTGTGCAGTCCAGCTCTACGAACTCAATTTGAGAAGAACAGCTGTGAGGTTGAATGGCTTTAGCTTGAATGTGTTCCTGCATTAGTTTCACAGCTATGGGGGAAATGTCAGCACAAGTGACATGGACGGAGACAGGAGAGTGCCTGTAGATAGAGGGTCCCAGTGCTGACGTACCACAGCCCATATCCACCACCTGGAGCGCAGCGTCTGGGCGAGACATAGTTTGCAAGAGGGGCATGATGAAGTCTCGGACAGAATCGAAACCAAAAAACCACTCAAAGTTTTTGAAGGTGGCTTTCCCGCTGCTGGTCTCGGTGTAGAAGCGGTCCCAGGTTGCTTTCTTATCCATGTTTTCAATCAGTTCAGCTACAGTGAAACAAAGATGGGACACAGGAGTTATCAGTAATACACAAAACATCGGTTATTTTAGCATGATCATGATTGAGCTCTTTTCTTAGGTTATAAATAGACACTAATAGTTTCTTTTGAGGAAGTTCCCTCAACTTTAATGTGATTTCCAAGTTTATACAACAGCAGTGTGTATAAGATACATTTATGCATTGCTGATATTGTTGTAAAGATGCACAAAACCTTTCAGTCAAATCCATGTGATAAACATGCTTTGCTGTTTGGTTCAGCTTTTCGGAAGCTGCAGTTTATGATGTTGTTGACAGGTGTTTGACTAAGTGTTGCCCAACTGTGGTCTGCACAATTGTTTAGAAGACACACTGCGGCTACGATTAGAGACTTAAAGCACATCTTTCTACACAGCTACGATGACCTTTAATGGGCTTTAATGTGTAAACTAGCAGCCGACTGTACTACAGGACTACCTCGTGGTACAACTGCTTTTTTTCAGTGAATACGTCACTAGCTTGCACCCCCGTTACAGCAGAGTCCTTCGTCTCTGTGAATGGCTAAGGTGTTGTAGCTAGTTGCTAGCTGTAGCTTATTAGTCTGCAGTCACGTGTAGCATGAAATGTCATGAACACATCTCAGTCAGGCTAGCCTGGTATTAAAAAAATATAACATGTTTATACATACCAGTTAGAGAAGAATGATACCGCAAATAAGCCCCCAAAACTCTTCTGCCGGACAAAAACGACTTTAAAAACGGAGACATCTTGCCTTAGTTTCACTCTAACCTTTAACGTAAGAGTTCTCACTTTGGTATTTTTTCTTGGTACCAACAGGACTCAACGTCCATAAAATGCTAAAGAGCAAAGTATTTTATGGTTATAGACGATCTTTGGTTCGGTTATGCTGCAGTGACGGAACTGCGCATGTGTGTGAGTGCAAGCGTAAACAACATACACCCACTTAACCATTCTGTCAAAAAGCAGCTGTCCGTGTACATCACTGACATCTGTATATTGAGAACTACATATCAAACGCTTTCTAGGTACCAAAAACCTTTTAACATGTACGTTTTCTCTTGTAGGTCATATACAATTTATTACTGTTTGGTCCCATATTCTTCTTTCTCCTCTCCCTGCAGGAATAATGCAATAATGCTTTCAATTCAAGTATGGTTATACCAGGTTCCTACAGATGGATGCAGCACAGTACTGGCATCAAATATGCATCAACGTGCAGTGTTGTTTACACAAAAAGACTTACAACGTTATTCTCAACTTTCAATATTTAACTGAAAAACAAAAATCATACTGACACAAGAAATAAGATGTAAATTGCTTTAATAAAACTCAATGAAACGCAGTGTAACAAAGGAAAAGAAACAAAGCAAGTAGATAACATTTACAACCACAAAAGAAAAAAAAAACCCTGTACAACTCTAAATGGTTGGAGTCACTTCTATATTTCCAAAGATTTTTTTTTTTTAATTTAATCATTTTGTCATGACTGAAGGTAAATTTGGGGGTTTGGGGCAAGAAGGGCAAATGAGGCAAGTAATGTGATTTTCTCTCTCTTTTTCGTTTTTTTTTTCCAAATACACGAGTGTAATCTCATACACAGATGTATGTTTCATCAGCATGGCTGCTGGTAGGATTTCTTGAATGCGCTGCTGCGGCACACAGCAGGAGATGCATGAGATGGGCTGTGGCCAGGAGTGCTATTTGTACAAGATGTCGTAATGGCCAGGTCTATAGAGGAGGAAGATGCGGGGGTCTCCGCCTTCGGGAAAGACGTGGTGATTGACTGTTCCTCCCTCTCCTCTATCCATGTACTCCACCAGAATGGATACGTCCAAGGCCTGAGCTAAGGCGATGATGTGAATGTGGTCACTTTCTTTAGACATTGGCTCTACCTCCTTGGAAAAAGAGAAGAAAAAAGCACATTAGGTGCAAGTTTCAGACAATAAAACGTGTTTTTTGTACCAGAATGGCAAACAGTGTACTCTTTTACACAATAACGTCTGTCATAACAGTTCAACAGTTATGTACATTATATTTAAATTTAAAAGCAGGAAAATGATTATCTACGTAGGGAAAACCTTCACCTGCTGGCAGAACTCCTTGACAGTGCGCCCACCCTCTATGAAATGCTGAAAGAAGGTATGCTGTCGCTGCAAGTAGCCTGAGGTGAGCAACCGCAGGTACACCACCACATAGTCTGATACGTTCTGGTCATTGAAGGAGTTCAGCAGCTCCTGCAGGCTCGGCTGTTTCTCACATAGCTCAATCAGGTCCATGAACTAGCAAGAAAAACAAGATTTACATGTTTAGACTCATGTACTCAGGCCTCAGCTTGCCAACTTTCTATTTAACTGGCCAAAACATGTGCTCTGGCAGATGGCCATCTAAAATTGGCTAATCAATAAGGAAAAATCATTTGCACCTTAACCAACATAACAAATGATATGCTGTCAATCAGGTTGAGGGTTTTACACCTCTTTTTTTAAGCTTATTTACAGCAACAATGCAAAAAAAAAAAACCAGACAATAAAACAAATATATCTAACTAGATGACATCCATTTGCATTTGTAGCAACTTCACAAAAATAGTCATTTAGGTTTGGCAGAATACTCACAGTATTGTGAAAATCTTCAATAGTAAACTCAGTGAAACCTTCGTTAACCAGATCCAGTTTACTTTTAGCTGCAACTGCTTTGAACCTGATGAGACAAAATGGGTATTTAAAAAGTAAAAATTGTAAATATTACAGCCGCCTATGTGCTTATCCGAATTTTAAAATATTGAAAACAGAACACAGTGTACTGCCCACACACACTCATACATCCGATGAACAGACAGAACAGCACCAGAACGCATTTAAATCGTCTGAGATGATGATGAAGTGTGAATTTGAGCATAGACACTAACAGCCAGCAGAGCACACACAGTAACCACTCAGGCACTCACCTCTGAAGTTCTTTGCTGTCATCTAGCAGGGACTCGAGATGTGCAAAGCCAAAGGCTCTGTAGAAACAGTTTCCATCTGGTCGCGTCTTGCGAATGTACGAGTATTTTTTGTGCAGGTCCTGTAATAACAATAATTTTAAAAAATCTGTAACACCAGATCCAAAACAGTTTTTGCGAATTTAAACAGAGAAACTTTGGATTGACGTGTGGCTGCAGTAACCTGAGAGGTGCTGCGCTCTGACTGACCTTGATCTTGAGCTGATAAACCGTGTCATCCTCAGCGTACTCGCTCTGCAGCACCGACAGGTCCTGTCTGTCTGACACTAAAGGGTTACTGTTGGCTATCTGCACAACCACACACACAAAATTGCAAATTAGTCATTGCAATCCATCTCAATACTTGTTTTTAGACTTTTTATTAAACAGTATGTCAGTGATTATGCATTAGTGACATTTCTTTTTATGCTCATCATAATCTCACAGCTGTGCACATAAAGCCTGTTACAGGTCAAGGTCAGTGTAATTACTGCACAGATAGATTCTCAAAGAAATGCATCTCATTTGTGTTCAGAGTGCAAATGATGCTTTTATAGCCCTGTCCACATGTCATCTGAGATTTCTGAAGTTGTAACTGTGAAAAAATAAATAAATAATAAATAAATAAATAAAGACAGTGGAATGTGGAAATTTGCTCATCCGGATCCCGAGAATAACACAAAGTCATCTTTATTTCTTTTTGCTTTCCAAACTAAAGGCTTTCTTACCTCCTGCTGAATCCGGTCCTGTTGAGCAATTATGGCCTCATCATATGCTAGGCAGTTCACTCCTGTAAGACAAGGGTGACATATTTAAGAGGCTTCAGGAGTAGAGTAGTACTTAAATGACATACTGGCCGACATGGAGGATGGTGAAGCTGTGGCATTGGGATTTTAACTGCACATCAGACTAGAAGCAGATTTACAATACCATAAATGTAGCAGCATTTACAGACAATAGCACTGTAACAGTTCTGAAACTGAGACTGAAACTGCCCTACAAACATCTACAGTATCAAAGCACAACTCCATCTTCCCAAACTGTGCAAGCTGTATGGAGGTGTTAATGTTTCGTCAAAGGATGCTAGTCTGAGAAAACTCTAATGTTTAAAAACTGATTAGGTTAATGTCTTTAGTAGAGGGACCCTAATGTGATCTACTGCCCAGATCTGTGGTTTAAAAAAATGAAAAAATTGAAAAAAGTATGAACTGAAAGCTAGTTCCACCTTCTAGTGTTTCAGAAAGTTAGGATGCAAGCATTTGCTACTAGGAAAACAACTGTTGCACAAATTTAATATTTGGATTGGATATTGATCCTAGAGCTGTTTTCTTTTAATTCACTAACAAATACCAAAAATTGTATAGAATTATATTTATTTATTCATTCCTTTTTAGTTTTTTCAAAGTTAGGAAATGTTTTAACTTGAGTCTCGTGTTTCCTGAAACATAAAAGAATACTTTCTAGTCTCTTGCTCACATTGATATAGATTATTCATTTAAAACCGGTATTCTATCGCTAGTCAGTATTAGCAGTTAGCAAAGCTAAGGTATCGGTACTGGATGGGATTCAGAACAAGCCTATTTGGGCCATCTCTGACTGCATTCACTTTTACAATTGGTGTGTTTAAGCAGATGTGACCTAGTGACACTGTCAGTGTACCTGCATTGCACCTGCAACGCTGTGTGTGACAATGTAATACCCGAACAAGCCAGGGGCTAAAACTGAAATAACTTTATATTACTTGGTTATTCTAGGATATTTTTAAAAATGCCTAGCTTGGATTTAGCAATCACAATTAAATGCGACTACATTATCTTGGATGTAAAAATAAATAAATAAACTTGATTACCCGTAATACAGTGTAGGTAAGGAACTAGTATCTTAATAAAAGTAACCTCGCCAGGTCCTGCATGTCGTTTTGCTTTAAAGGTTTGTCTTTTGTCAAAAAGCCCTTTTAGCTCGGTGTTTTCCTTCTCACTGGCGAAACCACTGATTTCGTTATAATGCCAGACAGCTGCATGTAAACAAAATGTAATAAAATCTGGAATAAATCAATTGACAAAGACACACTTCCCCTTTCCGTTTTCGTCACCTGCCGACACCAATAAGCAAACAAGAGCGCATTTAGCCCTTGGTCAGCATTTAACATGAAAACAAGTTAACCTACAAGCTAACGTCAGTCAGCTAAACTTGGCTAGCGCGACTTGTGCGAAAACAAAACAAATTTTAGCCACGACGACAGTCGCAGTTTTACAAACTAAAAATACGACGTCTTTTCTTTAATATTAAGTACACATTTTAAGCATTTCCAAAAGTCAAAACCTCTGGAACTGTCACTCACTGCTGCCCTGACATTAACTAAACAAGCTTTTTTTTCTTTGTGTAGCAGTGGCAGCTAGCTAACGTTAGCCCAGAAGCTCTGGCCTCTGTGTGCCCCTCACCGCTGCACATCAGCCAGATTCAGCACGGAGGAGGTAACGGCTGAAACGCTTTACAGATGCTCGTGTGAATAAGAGCTTTGTTTAGAAGAGAAATGACAGCGCACTTTGCTTGACATTTGTTGGTGTAACTGTTTCTCTCACCCTCCATCTCTCCCTGTGATGACTCTTGCTGCTCCTCCGCCATCTTAGCTGTTGAGATCGGTTTCCTCCCTCCGCATGACATCACTCGTCGCACACTTCCGAGCGCAGGCCAACGGTAAACTTACTTTATTTATTTATTTATTTATTTATTTATTCATTCATTCATTCATTTAGTTGGTGGGCAACCTTTTCGCATGAATAATGACTTTGTTAACAAAGCTAAAGCGTCGTACGAGGCTTCCAGTAAATAATGCATTTATTTATATAATTACAGTATTATACCATATTTAATATACATTTATTTCTTTATTAATTAAAAACTTTAACTAAAATGAATAGAATATTTGGTAGTGTTGTCAAAGGGTTGGTGTTGTTGCTGGGATATAAAAAGCCCTCCACGCCATTATAACAGGTTTCTTTTCTGAGGGTCAGGCAGGATTATGAGGCAGGTGAAGTGTGCAGTCCTTCCACAAAACCATGGACCCTCACAGACCGGTACAGTCACTGGTTTGGGGTAATTTGTTTAATTGCAAACATGGGGAAAATTATGCACTTATTCACTCTAAAATTAGAAGGGCTAAGGAGTTAACAAAGCCCTGCATAAGTTAGTTCTAAATGGCTTGTTTTTATTTATTAAGTTATTGGCTGTTCTTTAATATCTGTGATGAAGGTAAAAATACCACAAACATTCATCCTCTGTGATTTTGAGTTGGCTGGACCGGATGAAGGCCCTTTCCTGTCAGTATAAAGGTGTTTAACTGCACATTTGATCTTAGTATTAGAAAAAGCAGAGCACTTTCAACAACATATCTAAATATAAATACATAAATGTAAGAAATCTCTTGCGTCACTCTTTGGGCATACATTTTAAGAAATAAAAGTGTCAAATTACATTTCTAAAAAAAACTGGTAGCTCATTCTCCAGTCTGCCCTATTATTACAAAACAACGTTTTTCTTAATTCACAGGAAACATCCTGTTTTTTAAATGTATTTATTTATCTTTTTTGTTTTGTTTTGTTACTGTGGATGAAAAAAAGAGACATTTTGATAGTATCAGAATCAGTAGTTAAAAAAATAACAGAAAGGGTCCTGCCATCTAATTGTTTATCTATTAGTTTTGATGCATGAATTTCCATAAGGGAGGGGAAAACATTAAGATGCATGGAAAAATTAAACTCCATCATATTTATCATAGCTGTCCAGTGGTCTGAACTGGAGTCTTTACCAGACCGATTTATGTTTGACACCCTTGCCCAACAGTACTCTTAGGAAAACCCCAACAATCACAACAACAAGCGCATATGAGTAAGCACTCTGTGACAGTGGGGAGGAAAAACACCCTTTTAACAGGAACAAAGTAGGGCAGAACCAGCCTTGAGGAAGGCTGCCACTCCTCCTGCTGTGCCTGTGGTTCGAGGACTCTGACAGTTAGCATGACTCAGTGGGTGCTGGTTCATTTAAACATATTCATCCTGTTGCAGCCAAGATGACTACATTAACTCTGATGAAGCAATTGGATATATGGACAATGCACAGTGATAGAAGCCACTGGACAGGAACTAAAAATATAGTAAATTATTCAGTGGCCAAGATCTTTCTTTAAGGTTTAGTTTGCTACGATAACTACAACAAAAGAGCAAAAACTGTTGGTATCCCAACGTCCCCGCTTTGAGCAAGTTCTGTTTCAAGTGAAAAAACCCATCTGATGTGATGATGAAGCTCCTATTACAAGGAGAGCCTCTGGGGAAGGAGACCAGAAGTCCCAGGAGCTGCAGTGAAAAGGTTAATTAGCCCCCTAATTCTGCAATTAACAGTACCTACTGAGTGAGAGCACTGAGACTGAAGAGGCAAGAATTGGCGTTATACTTGAACATTTTTTGATTTCAGCTGTGAGGGCAGATGGGTTTAAATACCTGGGATCAACCAAAGCAACAGACAGTGAACATAGGCAGCAAAAAAACCCAAAAGGGAAGGTTTAAAAGTGAGACCTGCTGTGATGTATGATTTGGAGATGAAGTCGGGAGGCGGAGGTGGCAAAGATGTTCTTTGGGAGCAAGACCAAAGAGGGGGATTATGGATGAAGTAAAGGAGGACATGCAGACGGTTGGTAGAGACAGACTGGAGCAGCTCAAAGAAGAAGAAAACTACAAAATGTAATAGTTTCTGTGCCTTCAGTTTTTTCTACAATATAAAAAATAGTTTAAAAAATGAATGAACAGGGGTAACTAAAGTGCTGTACACCTGCACCTTTAGAAAAACCACATACATTTATTTCAACCCATCAGTACTAGCTGATAACCATCCAAAGCTCTCCAAATAATTAGAAATCCAGGCAAATGTCCAAAAAGATCATCTGGATCACAATCTTTCATAGTTGGTTAGTTCTGCAGTTTGTTGCCTCAGTCAGGCCCCTGCACTTTCCAGCAGTATACACCAGGGGGCGCTGTCTGCAAATGCATTTGCTTTCAGACATTATGGCTTCTCATTTGTTAGGTGCTGCCAGATAATAGTCACACATCACTTTAAGTTTGCCACAAACTGTCCCAGCACACTTTTTACACAACTAAAACAACATCAGACAAGTGTCTCGGAAAAAAGTCGTATTTACAGCAGATAACATAACAAAAAGGAAACAATACAATTATACAATTGTACAATAAAATGTATGTAACAAACAATATAATACTTCATATTTGTCAGAATAGCAAACCTGTTTTTTTTTCATGTTTTCCCTTTGGCACATTTTCCCCAATACTCATAACAGATATTTTTTTAAAAATGTGTACACAGATAAACAATACATGTTTGGCTTTTATGCTGCAATCAAAGGCTGTAACATGTCCCTGTGAAACTCCTTTTGGAAAGACACGGTCCTCTTTTGGAGGAAATGTTCCAAACTGTACAGAAAGTCCATGTTTGGCAACCTTTTTTTCATTTCTATGATCTGCTTTGTGAGAATCCAGGAATACTTACAGACTGATCAATTCTAACTATGTTTTCCAAATATTTGGCAGCTTTTCCAGATTCCATTGACGTTGACATTCATACTGTGTGTGTAAACATCGACAGACTGAACATAAATGCACTCTAATGTATTAAGTTTGCATGCTTCGTACATGCTTTTTCATCTCTAATCTTATATATGTATACATCAGTATGTTTGCAGTGCACATGTACTATGTGCATGTGAAAGAGGCCACTGAGGCAGAAGGATGCGTGACCTGGCAGATGGATGCAGCACATTTTATTTGTTGTTGTTACTATGCTGTGTCTTTGTTACTTCAGATTTAAGTATTACAGCTCTATTTCAAAGGCGTTTGTAGTTTTCTTTGTTTGGTTTTTTTGTTCTTTGTTTTTTTAAGAAAAGGGAGATCACTCGTGTATTTGTACAGATTTACAGATCACTACATGTAAGGGACATTAATCTTGTTTTGGTATTAAGGTTTCATCTGATTCAAACTGTCTCAGTGCCTACGGCGGCAGGACAGTAAGACAATATGAAGGTATGGAGGTTGCAGGTGTGGCCAGAGATGAACAAGCCAAAAAAATCTGGATCAGGTCCCAACCAATGTTGTGTAAGAGAATGTAACACAGGCAGTTACTCTTACACTCACCACAATCTCTTGCAATCTCCTTTTTAGATTTACCGACTTTCCCACAGCCTTGTTTACTCCTCCTGTATTTCCTGTTTTTTCCACAACAAGTGCTTTCGATATCCCCTCATAAGCTCGGGCAGCTGCATTCACCTGCAGCTGGTTAGAGCAACAGCTGTGTTGTGAAAGCTCAGAAAGGAATATCATCGGTGATGATGCTGAATTTGCTGCACTGGAAAATGTGTGATATTGTCTTTGGTTTCCAGTAGCTCTGCAAACATTTGGGGAATACACCCAAACAGCAGGAAGCAATAAGAAATGCCCTAAAGATGCTTTGGAGTCAGCCGCATCCACAAAAGCGGTGCAGTTCTGTAGTTTCACGTATTATTTTCTCACCAGCTGTTAAACTATTTGAGCCTTGTGGATTATAGAGGCGTGGGGATTGACCGGATGGGGGCTTGGGATCCTTTTGTATTTTAACAGGCCATTACTGGGGTGGCAGGGCACGCTGTGACCCTCAGACACCTGAGAGCTGTTCGTCTCGCTGTCTTGATCAAAAGGTTGCTCTTGACTGGCAGGACCGCCCAGCCCTTCGTCCACTTCATCATCGTCGTCCCTTATGGGTGGGCAGGTGCTGCTCACGGGAGGGTGTTGGTGATTTTTGGTGATGCTTCCCAGTCGCAAACCCACATCCAGTGGGACAATGGGGCTGCCGTTCATCGACCTCAGAAAGTCGGGCGTTTGCATTCTCTGAGGCATTTGCGTGAGAGGAGCGTGGTAGTGAGTTTCCGGCTACAAAGACACAGAACAGATTTTGATTGCATCATCATCAGGTTAACTATGCAGTGGTTAGTAATATGGAGCCGAGGCATTCCACAGTTTGGCGAACTCAAGCCTTGACACGCAGACTAGGACACACTTACCAAAGATAAAGAGCTGTTTTTCACATATCTCTCCACTCTGAGACGGCTTTCCTCGTCTCTGTCCAGAGGCCTTTCTCTCCCCCTCCGGGAGTTGTTGTATATGGCTGGTCTGCCCAGAGAGTCATACGCAATTCCTCCTCCCCGACTGCCTGAGATAGTAGATCGGCTGTCACGGCAGTGAGGCTGCTCCTGTTTATGGCATGGAAACAAAACACTAGTAACTATTACTCGACACACTGATTAGGTGCATAGATTGTAGCAATTCTATGCTCAAAACAACAGAATTGCTACAAACATTCTCCCCAAATTCACATAAAAAAACACATTTTTTAAAGAATCCCTGATTATAGTTAGATCATTTACTTACATGTATATTAAAAAAAAAAGTGGTTTTAAAACAATAGCTTAGCATTAACTGGGGAAATGTGCTGTCTTGCTGACAGATGAAAAAAATTGGTATTACTGTGTAATATCCCTTTAACCATTATAAAGCTAAACCTGGAAGTCTTCAATAAAGTCTTCCAAAAAGGAGTTGACATAATATTGATGCCAATAGTTTGATGTTAAATAAATAAATAAAAAAATGACATAATTAATTATGTTAAAAATAATTTAAAAAAAATATAAATAATAATAAAATACATTCAGTTTTAATGGAAAATAGTCTGTTATTTATTTGCATTAAATTAGTCACCGTTTTCAAGAAATACGGAGGACAGTATTGGATAATATATAAAAAAAAGGATAATATATTAGATATAAGGGATTTAATTTTAGGCCCCAAACTTCACTCCAGGTCCTGATTGAATCAGGCCTGACATAATTAGGCAATGAAAGCTTTAAAAAGTAGCTTTTTGGGCCTAAACGTTGGGCTGTAAAAGACAAAAAAATGGGAATAGCCACATGCAAAATGTTACTTTTCTTTTCTCAGTCAGCTGCATTTGATGACACTACAGATGAAATTAAATGGGTTTTCTGTTGTTTTGGGAAATAAGCTACAGCGTATTCTTCCTGAAACATAAAAGCCTGCCACTCCCATGTCTTCATGCTAATTACAGGAGCTACAACCAGCAGTAATTTAGCTCAGGAAACAGAGCACTATTAAACCAGTCTGATCTCACTAAAATGTGAAAGGTAACTACTGACTCTTAACACCACATTACATAGTGACATATGTCTGAGCTAAACATTGTCATTTTAACTCTCTTTAAAAGAATCAGCCACTATTTTTGCTCTTCTGATAAAGTTGTAAAGGCCAAATCATGGACTTATTATCAGCCTAGAAAACCAACTAAGCATCAAATAAAAATGAGCATGAGGACAAGAAGTATAAACACGTGAACCCAAACTTCTTCTCCCCTCAATTTTGTTTGCTTTATACCTTATCTAAAGGAGGAAATTCATCTGTCCACAGTAACAAAGTTTCTAACCTCCCAATTGCACCACGCTACATTATACTTCACCAATTAGAGCTGCTGGCTTGCAGTTGTAGTTGGTTGTAGTTTAAAACAGCCTAATGTCTGGCCTAATTCTCAGCATGAACTTTAGGGCCCATTGAGAGGAACAGAGATGTTAAAAGAGAAAGAGAAAAAGAGCTGTGATGCACTACATGCAGATTCGAAATGTTGAAAGTCAGAACTTAGCCATCTGGCATCTGGCTAGTAAAGTCTCAGTCCCGGGCCCTGGCCCTGCATGCAGATTTATATAGATACGCAGACTGACCCCAAGGGAAGACAGGCTGTTCCTCAGTGTTCCCTCCACCCTCAGAGGGATGTTTTCCTCTGTCTGCAATCAAAAGAAACACAACAAAATTCTAAATCGTGAAAAAAATCTGTGCATTCAAACCTTACCATACTATGCTTTGATTACTTTAAAACTGATGGTATTATTGATAGAAGATATGAATATTTATCTGTTGCGACTAACAGATGCCGGTGGTTATATTGAAGTATTTGGAGTTAGTCAGAGTGAAATCTGAACGTTGAAAACAGGTTTGTGTGATACAAGTGGTCCACTGATTTGGATCAGTGCTGAGCAGTGTGAGAGAATAATCATGCAAACGTACCGTTCTCCTGGTGTCTGTACTCGTGGAGTTCATTCTCCTGATAGAGGCTTGTCTGGAGAGAGTGTGTATTTCCTCCCTGTGAGAAAAAAAAGAGAGAAAAATTAATTTGTAAATGGCACTGAGGCTTATAATGCCACGTGTGTTATTCTCTGGCAGCTCAAGTTATGCTAAAGCTTCATTTTTGAAATTTAGATTTCATGCATATTTGTGCCTGCTGTTAATTTACAAGTCCCCCACACAGAGTCATTTAGCCTGTGCATTTTACACTTTATGCTCCTCTAATTTTACACGCTCCGCTGTTGTATCTGTCAGCTGGAATATTCTTAATAGCTGTGATTTGCCCCATTTTTATATATATTCTTCTCAGCCTGCGGATATTATTAATTCATCTCATCTTTTCGCATCTTAATTAAACATCACATTATCTCATACTTTTTCTCAGTCAGCTGTCTCTTTAGCTTCTTGTTCTTGCGCTTGTGGTAACATGTGACAGCAATGATGATGGTGAGCAACAAGACCAGGAGCCCAATGGCCACGCCCCCCACAATGAACATCAGCTCCTTTTCAACACCTGTCACCTTCGGGGCAATTTCTGTGAAGGTAGAGTTAGAAAGATTAGAATTAAACGGATATGCACTTCTATACACATAGTTTATATTACTTTGACAAGTATGTTGATACTGCTGCCATCTACCTTCCACATTAATCTCCACCTCTGTCTTTCCAACTCCCACTTTATTCGTTGCCACACACTGATAAGTGCCCGCATCTGAAAGGTTAAGGGGTCGCCCAAAAGCTAGCGTTCCATTCGGGTGTTCGATGACGCCTTTCGGCAATTTTCCATCCTTCCTGTAGAGAGAACGTACACAGACAATACTACATCACAGTCGATCCACACCAATTAATGTCACCTTCAATCTTGAACTCTCTGGACAGGTTGTCAGTCTGTTTGAAGGCTAACAGATAAGAATCCAGAGAGAGCCCATACAAACATGTTTACCCTATTAGGCTCAAGTGTCCTAAAAAAAATGCAGTTTCCCTCCAATAAATGAGATAAATTAGAGTTTATTTGCTGAGTGTCCGAGTCGCTAACAATGTTAGATCCACTTCAAAGAAAGTTCAGTGACACCGGCTTATAGCAAGAGCAAAAACAGAAGTGCTTATCACTGTCATCATGCAGAAGTGAGTTTCGCTGACTAATCGACCTGTATCAGACTCCTCTCACAAAGATTTATAACCTCCTGCAAAGTGGATGCTCCACCCCCAGCATTATAAGTTAAGCAGTGATCCGGCAGCCTAGACTCACTAGATAAAAGCCAGCTGGAGTGCTTGAGGTAACTCGGGGGCAAAAAGCGAAAATATCACAAAGTATTTGTCAAATATTTGTTTTTCTTATTACTGATTTACTTCCATATTAATCTTCGTTAATATAGTGTGTACATACAAAAACAGTAGTAGAAACACGCTAGCTAGCCACAACAGCTATGGGATATAAATGGTTAACAAGCTTGCTAGCATTAGCTGATAACTGTCACTCCACCCTCCTGTCCTAAGATGCTGAATAATGGCTGTAAACAAATGATAGCAATAAATAAATAAATAAATAATGCCAAGGCTTCAAGGTACAGCCACCTGAAAGTAATGGGTGACTTTGGTGTACCTTTTTCCATCTTTTATAGTAAAGACTCTTTCATAGCTTGCAGCCTCGTATTATTTAGATAATAATTCAGTGGGACATGGCATGCTCGCATAATGATAACAATCAATTCCACAAGATCTTAAAGAAAATTGAACACCCCATCCACCAGCAACACTAATTATACTTCTGTACCTTCTAGAAGAGAACTTAATGATATAGTAGCTGAACACATTGTTTCTCTACTGTATCATGTCAAAAATCAAACAGCTACCTGTGGGGCTGTGAAATGCAGCCACAGAGAGAACTTATTCCCCACAAACAACCATGTTAAAATACCCAAATTAGTTAGCAGGGATCTGTCTGTACATTGTACCGGAACAGTTTATGAATGCAGCTTGCTAGCCAAGCGTCCTAGTATGAAATAATAATTTATCTCGCCATCTTCTTGGGCAAAAATGGTTACTTCTAGATCCAATAAAGTAGCGCGATAGAGACCAAAAGGCAAACAACGAGGCTTCAAAGTGCAAAGCCCCGAAACTACTGGGTGACGTGGTTGCATCTTTTACATACAGTTAAAAAAGGACACAACTTGAACATTCTCAGAAATACATCTTCTTTTGTATAGCGGCCACTCTATAATGTAATCTATATTAGAGATGTCATAAGTGTGTTGCATAGAACTCTTGTTTCACAGAGTCGTTTCGTTTAAGCAGAAAGGAGGAACCATATACTTGTACTACATATGCAACACATTTTCATGATAACATCTCACACAGATCTCACGCTGCTTCCTTTTCCTCCACCCTCCACCCCTGCCTACCTGCTCCTACTAGTTAACTTCTGATTATTGCTCATCCCTTTCCCTTTTACTTCTCATCCCCCTCCTGCTCCCTCCTTCGTGTGAAACTGTCTCATCTGTCTGCTCTCGGCACAAGCCGGAACATGACACTGTGACAGCAGCTATTACTTCACCTGCCGCCATTTACTAACAGGTTTTCCATATGTGTGTGTGTGTGTGTGTGTGTGTGTGTGTGTGTGTGTGTGTGTGTGTGTGTGTGTGTGTGTGTGCACGTGCATACACAGTCATTCATAAGTCTGTAAGTGTGTATACACGGTGTGTGCCTCTTAATCTTTACTCACAAAACCTCCTTTCATAAGGTATGTTCCTGTTTTGATAACTAATAAAAAAAAGTATTAGATGCTTTACTTTCTGTCAAAACAGCGAAGACATAACCAAACATTTGCTCTTTTTCTTGTTGTTTCTTTCAAAAACTTCAGATAGATAAACATATTTTCTGCGTGTTTTTCCCCCGTGAAAGCCTAACTGTCACATGCCTAGATTTAATCGGTGCCATTCCTCTTCCAGCTTTTCAAGGCCTGCATTTTTTCTAGCTACACCACACCCTGAGAATATATTAATGCATTGAAACAAACAGCTTAAAATGACAGCTGGTGACTCAAGCAGAAGAACTGAAACACCTGAGTCAAACCCTCAGCTGGCTGAAAGCAGGGCTTCTCCTGAATGAGCTGCCTTCCAGCCTTCCATTGAGGCCGCAGAAGCAGGAAGTGACAGTGAAATGAGGTTGTTTGGTTAAGACTACGTCCACACTAATGCGTTTTTGTTTGAAAACGCATCATTTTCTCTCGGTTTTGGCCTCCCGTCCACACTGAGACGGCGTTTTTGCTGATGGAAAACGCAGCATTTTGAAAACGCTCTCGAAAACGCATACATTTGGAAACGGTGCTATTGCGTCGCAGTGTGGACACTCAAAAACGCAGACTTTCTAAAACAATGACGCATGTTAGTCATATGATGCAGTCATGTGACCAATTAAACTAAGATAGCGGAGGGCATTATACAGCAGTTCTTTTGTTTGCTCTGAATTTTGACAGCCCTATTAAAGATTAATATCAGTCTGCACATGCTCCAGATAGCTTTTCTTCAAATTCTTTAACTTGCTCACTTGCTTTTGCAACTTTGTGCTTTTGTGTTACTCGCAAAAAAAAATCACTTCACACAGCTAAAATGTGTTAGCTGTGTGAAGTGCTGGAATAAATTTGACAGATGTATGATGGCAAAAGCACACTATGAGGATTTCATGTAAGGCCTTCACAATTATCAATGCAAAAACACTGATGCTAATGATATCACCACAATATTTAAATATAATTCAAATGTAAGTGCATGAACTGTATATTTTAGATATGTAAAATATACAATATTTAAGTTGATTTTAGTCCATTTAACTGGAAATTCAGGGTTAGTTTCCATAAATTCATAAATTAGACACAGACATTAGATTTAATAACATAAGTACGCAGGAATTATTGGGGAGGAAGCACTAGCTACACATTTCCATGAAAAGAATGTCAAAAGACAAGAAACTACCGTGATGTGTAGTCCACTGCCGGCATTGTGTAACTCCAGTTCACAGTTTCACCTATTCACAGTGGTGTCACCATTCCTCTTTCATTTTGCCATGTATGCACTTGTGCACATGCAGTGCAGTGTGTACCCAGCATAAGAGTATTACAGTAGTAATTAAAAGTTTTGTAAGTTTAATCATATTGTCTGGTGTCTTTCTGTGTGTTTAAGTAAACTCCTAATGTGTAAACAACAGTGACTGTTGCTTCTACTAAGCATTTTCCAACAAGACTTGCTGTATGTAATAGTAACTAATACATAATTAATAAGTAATAAAGTAACTGTAAGTTGGTGATGACCTGAATTTGCTTTCACCAAACTTTAATTAAAGTGGTGAAATCATGGGACACAAAACTGGCATCACAACTGGCACTTCTGATTAAAGTAACCATGGCCAGACAAATCAGACAGTTAGTCATACAAACAGCAGACACCCGGAGAGATAGGTGGATCCTACCATACCTGATCCAGGTGAAGACGTGTGGTTTGGGGTTTCCTCCACTCACGCAACTCAGGGCAGCATTCTCCAGACCCACATACCAGTTTCCATTGTAGCCAGATACCTCTGCGTGCGGCGGATCTGAGAGAAAGGATGATAATTTACCAACTTTAACGCTTTGAGATGGAATAATCAGACTTACAGCTGATGCAAATATGAATGCAACATTTTACAAATAGTAAAAATCACTGCCACGGCTTAACATCAGTGTAAGGCATTGTGAATGATAATGCATTAAAAATTAAGGAGGGGAAGTACTACTATTTTTATGTATATTTAACACACTCTTCATCTTGAAAATGAAAGGTGAAGAGAGTTTTATAGATATAAAATGTAGGTAGTGTGAGCTAGACTTGCTAATATGGAGAGAAACGTGTGTAGCAACACAGTGTTCAGAAAGTCTCTTGTGACTCTGAAGGGATCACAACAGTGATAAAAACAGGAAGTGAGAACATCGGTCCTATTACTGCTTTAACTCTACGTATGCTTGTGTTTTTCATGATTTAAATGTGTCTCATTTCTGCACTACTGGATCATCTCAACTCTTTTGATTTTTAAAACATAGCCCAGTTTGGGTGTGATGTGGAGGGAAACTCACAGTGCACTACCAGCTGGTTTTTTAACCTGCGGGGTTCCGAGTAAGTCGGATGCCAAACCAGGCAGTCCAACTTCTTTCCATTCATGCCTCTCAGGGGATACAGGGAGAAGTGAGAGGAGACTGCCCCGGTGTCTGAGGTGCGATTGATCGACTTCCCGTTCAGTTCGGTGTCCCAGGAGAGCTGAGGCAGGGGTCGGGCTACGGAGCGGCAGGTAGCAACCTGGCTGAATTCCTGTCCCTCCACCACAGTCACAGAGTCCACTGTGGAAATGGGATGAGCTGGAAGAGGGGTGGTTACAGTGTTTGATCAGGGAGGAGATAATGATGGTTAGATCAACACACTCAGCAGCCAGTGTTGAAGGCAGCTGTACACTTAAATAGATATTTAAAGGTCTTTCTAAGTAAGCGTGTCTGGTCTTATGCAACATGCGGGTCGCAGCAAAAGTTTGCTCACTAATTAGAAGAGCGTGTGGCTACGTTTTTAGAGAAGAAATAAGATACATAGTTTCTTTCTTTCCTCACTTATCAGTATTAAACAACTTTATGGTAACAACAGCAATAACTGCTTATGCTTAAATATTTAAAGCTCAAATAAGATTTGAATGCTTTCAGGGTAATAAAATAAGTGAGCATAGTTTTTTTTTCAGGCAGTCAGAGTTCATTTAAGTCTGCAGTCTTGTTAGATCAGCTGATAACAGCTGATCTCAGTGTTGACATCTCAGCTGATTTACTACTGAGCAAATCTCATGTAAAGCCATTTATTTAAAGTGCTTTAACCTGCCTACAGTTTCTTAAAGCTTATGCAAGCAACCTTCCTCCACCCCACATCCTCTTGATACTGTATCTATTTTAATCAGCGCCATATCTGTTCAGTACTGTGGGATCTTGCTGCCGCTGTCACGGTCAGACTTTTCATGTGTGGTAACGTAAAGAAGGACAAAAGTGAAGCTATATCACCAAATATCAATTATTGTAGGCAGTAATAACAATTTTCTTCAGAGTTAAGTAGAGCTGATGATGACTGATTTTGCTGTCGAATAATGCAGTTAACACTAATGATACCATTATAATAATAACGTTATTAGTGTTGATTTGCCTCCTAATGAGTTATAAGCAAATAATCAAGAGGTAGATTCTGGTCTGAATTCAAACCAAAGCAGAAAATCTTCAGTGCAACCTGATCTTTTGCTACATACTAGAGGAAACGTGTTGTTAGAGGTTGAATCCTAGAAGCACTTGTAAATTCTATATACTGATTATTACTTGCACTTGATTCGTTTTATTAATTCAAAAGTGTAGAACCATATATATCGACAGTAAGACGATAAGATAATGTGAACGTTGGAAACACGACAAAATATACTTCTGAACAATAAACTTCAATTACAACCTTAAATGTAAAAACCTGAAAATACAACCACTTGTAATGCCTTATTAGGTGCTACAAATGCTTAATCGAGTGACAAATACAGTCATGAGTAAGTGTGTTATTCATATTTTGTCTGTGTTACTACATTATTAGTCATGTATTAGCTACGCCTTAATAAACTAACAACCTGGTGACAATATGAATTAGTTTCCATCCTTGAGAAGACAACATACTGTCTCTTCTGTTGTGTATTGTATGCCAGAGTCATGATGGAAGGACTCACTATGCACCAGGAGTGACAACTCTGTCTCAAAGTTTCCAAAGGGGAAAGTGCTGACATGGCAGGTGTACTTCCCCTCATCAGAGATCTTTGTGATCTTGATGACCAGAGACGAGTCCTTGGTGGGTTGGATGCTTTTAAACTCCACGCGATCGGCCCACGGTCCGAACGCTAAGGACAGAGACAAAAAGAGAAAGACAGTTTAGGGAACCCAAGAGGAAGAATGCCACACAGAAAGTTAAATCCAGCAAGTTCAAACAAACCTCAGGCTTTCTTTTTAGCACTTTCAGTTCTGTACACATGTCTGAATCCCTCTCTTATAACTGAAATTACTTTACAGCGTGGGCACTAATGCCTTCTGTGAGCAAAGACTCCAATATCACCTAAAATTACACCAAACTATAAAAATGGTGCAAATATCAATTGAATTATTGATATCACGGTAACATTTTCAGCATCTCTGGCAAACTGCTTTTATACGGAGCCCCCCAGGGGACATGGGAGGAAAAAAAATTAGGGAGGAAAAAAAAAAATTAGGGAGGAAAAAAAAAAATAAGATGGACTTTTGCGAGATCTCGCAATACTTTTGTGAGCGCTCGCAATACTTTTGCGAGATCTCGCAAAAGTCCGTCAATAATTTTTTTTTCCCATTTTTTTTTTTCCTCCCTATTTTTTTTTTTTTCCTCCCTAATTTTTTTTTCTCCCATGTCCCCTGGGGGGCTCCGTACTTTTAGACATTTATGAGCTCAAGCCTTGGTGCATGATATGTTTACTGGGAGGAGAAACAAAGCCACTAAATAACTCTTGTCAGCTAAAACAGACGCATTAACTTGCAATACAAGGAAACTTTGTGAGGGATTGATAAAGAAAACATTTCCCACTGTGAGGAAAAGGGAAGTAACTCAATGTGACAATTTAGTTTTTAGCACTTGGCAGAGGACGTAAAGACAAGGTCGAGGGCAGAAAGAGAACTGGAGCTCAGACACAGTGCCAGTTACCTGTTTTTCCATTTACATGATGTGCGGTGATGATCTGCTCCTTGGTACCATCAGGTTTCTCCTGAAACCAGGTGACCTGCACCACTGTACTCTCGGCATCTGGCTCGTAGCGACAGGGTAGGATGGTCTCTTCCTCCGCCAGGGAAGTTAAGGAATAGTTTGGAGGAGGTGCCACAAAGTCTCCTTTTATCACTGTCACTGGAAGAGAAAGATAGGACCATAAATTCATCTGATATAAGAATCAAGTACTTGCAGCTAATTGACGGCACGGTGGCTTGTTCATCTCTAACACAGTGACACTGAGCTTGGCACGCTGGTCGTAAATACTAGAATCCCATTACAAGTGCCACATTTTTAAAAATTTTAACCAGAAAGTGGAACTCCTGAGACTCAGAAAACACAAGCAAACTCTTCACAGAAGGACTCTGCCTGGGCTCAAACCCCAGACTCTTTTGAAGTGATCTACAGGCTTTCTGAAGCTCTTTTTTCTTTGCACATTGACTGTCTTTTCAATCATTTTCAGTTGACTCCTTATTAATAACAATTTTAAAGGAATGCTTGTTTCTTTGTTTCTTCATTAAGACAACTAACAGCAATTTATTAATCACTGAAGCCACCTAACGTAATAGAAGAACCAGGGTTGTGTCTACAAATAACACACAACATAACAAAGAAGCAATTTTAAACATTGTCTTTAGCAACTTGTTAATCCCAGCCTGTGGCAAAAGCAAAGAATTTTTTTCCAATGTCTTTAATTGAATCTACAGAAAATGCAAATGAAAACACAGCTTCATTGCAATTCTGCACCAACAGGCTGATTCCAGAAGAGCTAGAAGCCGAAATCTTGGCCTATCTCAGAATGGTGAACTGAACAAGCGGCAGGCGTTTAAAAAGACGTACAGCAGCTGAACATGAAAATGAAAACCTTAACTGTTTGATCTTAATCTCAAAGTCACATACATGAGAAACAGAAAAAATGTCCAACAAAGAAGAGATAGGACCTGAGAGATGGATCAATATGTACAGAGGACATCAGGAGCGAGGTACAACATCTGTGCACCACTGCAGAGCCGCTGTCAAGGTTTGGGGCTGCATTTCAGCCACTGATGTAGGAGATCGGGAATACTGATGGAATTATGAATACAGAAATGTACCATCTGGAAAGTGTCTGATTGGCATTGCTTCATTTTTTAGCATGATCCCAAACACACTGAGAGTGCAGCAAAAGCATTTCTGGATAGAGAAACACACAATGGAGAACTATCACCTCAACAGAGGATGAAACAAAAGGCAGCAAAAAGGGTTTTGAATGTCCTTCAAGAAGCCTGGAAAACTATTCCTGAAAACAACATCAGAAAATTAGAAGAAAAGAAAGAGTTCAGGATGTGTTAAAAAAAAAAAAAATAATAAAGTGACCAAATAGTGACTTTAAAGCTTGTTAGAAACACACAACCTCAGTTTTTTCTTATTAAATCTATAAATATACTATATAAATAATTCCATCTATTTTAAATTTTCCTGGCAAAATATAAAGAAATCACACTTTTAAACAGTGTTGTATATTTAAAAAGAGAAGTCTCAGTTATATGTGCCAGTAACTACTGTAACTTGTGTGTTGTAGTGGTGATAAGGCTTTTAACTTGTTTTCTGTTTTCAACTTGCTACCTAAGGAAAAGTAAAAGCATACAGTTTTACATTAATACGAAGTTGCATCAGTTCTATAGTAACTTTAAACCATAAATCATTTGCGAAGCTGCTTTATGCCGTGCATCAAAAGACCCAGTTCAATTAAAAGCATAATAGTGTGGAAAATGGTGGCCTGGCTGTGCCGGAGTTATATATTATTTGAGCAAGCAAGCTGTGGTTATGTGGGGTGGCTATTTTGTCCGAGCACAGGAAGCCAGAGCTGCTTCTCGTACTGTCACGCTTTTCTGTTAAGCTGAGCCAACAAGCTGCAGGGTTTAATGCAGCTCTGATAGTAGTTTTGTCTTTTTGCCAAACTGTCTGGAAGGACTAAGCAACATTTAAAATGATTTCATTAATATAGTGTTTCAGGAGCAGAGTTTCGGTAGAGACAGGTGTGCACTAGTCTGACTGGCAGCAACATAGTTTTAAAAAATGGCAGTGTTTAAAGGCAACGGATGAGGTTTGAAGGCACAGAGTTAGTACAGAAAACAAGCTGTATATCATAAGCATGAGTCAGTACAAGTGAAGATATGTCGTATAACTAGTTGTTCAAGATAAGCTTTCAAAGAAACTAAATGCTCAGTGTCTGCACACAAACAAACCCCAGAAAACATAAAGTTAACACAAAGTGCATCGTATCACATGTCTCACTGTCACAAAGCAGCATTATTTAGTGCAAACCACAAGTTTACATAAATATCTTGGCTTTTTTTTACTTTTCTCCCCTTCCTCCTTTCAGTTTGCTAACCTGTTTGCTCTCAACAGACTACAATCCTTCACGTTACCTGCAATATGTGCAGCGCACTGTTACACGGTTTGAAACTGTATTTAATGCTTCTTTGCATTTGTGCATGTTCACCTTGGCACAATGCTAAAATAAAACTGAATTCAGTTTTGTGGAAGTTTTGCCTATATGCACAATGCCTGCTGTCATATTGCTGCTCTTAGATCAAGCTGGAGTTGATTGATACTACGATGCCACCATTTCCGGTTGTCATCTAAAGGCTGAAAGCTAAAAACAGCGAGCTTTTAGTAATATTCATATTTTCATTCATGGCTTCGTTCGGACGTTGATTCAGTAGCTGATGCGGTAGAATCTGTTCAGATATGTCCGTGGGTACGATGTGAATCATGCATTTACCAGCAGACCTGATGACTCTTCTCATCAGACAGGTGTGTTTTTTTTTCCATGAATGTGTGTGTGTGTATGTGTCACCCTGATGTTTAAACCTACTTTGGAATCTGCCTGTGCTGCATTACTGGAATGATGCCCAGCCTACCCTGCTTTTATGGGATTGAAAGGTTTTCTTCAGTCTAGTGTAGCATTATCTGTTCATGTTAACTTTTTCCAAGTCATTTTTGTCCATGAATTACCTGCAAAGTTCACATCTCATACAATATTAGGTTTTTTGTTTTTTTAAGCATGCACCCCAAGTCTCACAAAAGATGTATAATAGCACCAATCTACAAACTTAAGGACTGATTCAGGCAAAATTATGATGTATTGTTTAAAAACAAAAATGTCCATGGCTGAAGCAAAGACAAAAAGGCCACATAAATTACACAAAAAACCACACTAAAATGCAGTAGAAACTGGAAGGGTACTCAGAGTCATGACACAAAGCCCTATGTCCACTGTTGTGATTTAAGGATAAGAAATCGGGATCAGGATCTCTTACCGTTAAATCACATACACATCTTACATCTCTACAATGGTGAGAAAGAAGATATGTATGTAGGTAGATGAGGGCAGACTGCCAATAGTGAGATGGTGACAGACAATAGCACCCAGCAAAGAAAGCTTAGACAAAAAACAAGAGGAAGTGCAGCGTCCACAGAAAGACTGCGGACACTTTTTAAAGTGTCATTGAGTTTTATTGTTTAGAAAGATAAATATAAATGACTTATTTGATAATAAATCAATTTGATGTCCATCTCTCAAAGAGTTCCTCCCCTTTCTGATCGCTGCACAGCTTATGGGCTAATGTGCAGTTTTTACAGTGACAAACGGTATATAATATAAACCACAGCCATTCAGACTTTGAGTAAACAGTGTTTGACAAACACTGTAAGAGTGAAGTAAGTAAGAACTAGCTTTCAGTAAGGTTTTCAAACAGATGTGGGTAATGACCTTACCTTCTATCTCAGATCAGTCTGACTGATTCGGACTCACAGGCCTTATCCCCTTTGAGCTTTAAGCGAAAGTTTAAATCACTCAGACCTCTGGAGTACCCGTATAACATGTATTTTGTAAGTGCATCAGCAGCTTCTGACATGTTTTGCATACATTTGAGTAGTGATGTTTGTACATAGTATTTAAATATGAAATGAATAGTGTGCCCAGGATGGAGCCTTGCGGAACACCTGTAGACAACATGGGAGTATTTGCATTTCTGGGTAAATGTAGCAACATTATTTTATAACGTTGGGTGTTGTGTTTAAGTATATGTAGTAGAAAGTCTTATGAAGGCTGTGTGGATATTATTTATCATATCGTCACATTTTTGAATGACATATTTATACTTAAGCAGCGCACACACATACACACTAGGAGGATCCACAGAGTTCATATGAATGCTGCAGAAAGAAGCGTATTGATCAACAGCAACCAGTTTTTCCAGAAACAGAAGCCAGGAGTGTTTCCTAACAGCCCTCCTCTATGTATTCTTGAGAAAACTGACTATGCCTTTAGAGGTTGCAAAACATAGCTCATGAATATGCTTCAGATACTGTATTAGGCCTTAATAGGGTACAGGAAAACCAAAGTGTGCATCATGATATTTTTAAAAAGCCTTTTTTAACTTCCGATGCGTTTGATGTGTGACACACAGCTGCTTTATCGCTGCGAATAGTGGAGTACAGCGGCGCATAGGCAACACATTAAACAATCACAGCACAATAAAGGGGTCAGTAAAGGCAGGGGATAAAGATATATAGTATTAAAAGAACACAAAACATGTTTAAATATCATTTTCATCAGACTTCATATGAGCGCTTATCTTACCAAAGACATGGAGGACAAAGAGGCACAGAGAGAGTCTGTTCAGCAGAGATGTCATTCTCTCTGGGAGTTGCTGTTAACTGTGCACAACTTTTGACAATTTCAGCAGTGGAAGAAAGCTCATAAGTCCAGGTAATATGATCCTAACTGACAGGCAGGCTCGAAGCATTGAGGCACGCTCATGGCTCGTACTGCCGGATCATCCTTGGAGATGTTTTTTCTTTGAGAACCAGGTCCCTTTGAGAAATGGAAAAACTGTGCGTAACCCCGTCCTTGTGAAAAAGTTAAATCCTTTGAGTTTAGAGTCCTGTATGGTTGTTAAGCCCACGCCATCATGTTTGCCCTTTAGAGGAAAAATAAGGCGCAGCTTTACCTGTTTGGGATACACCTGTTTGAGCTACACCCCTCTCTCTCTCTCTCTCACTCTCTTGCTCTCGCTCTGACATACACACACACCTAACAACCCGACAAGCCACAAACACACACTCACGCGCACACAGCTGCGGGGAAAAAAAGTCACCTTTCCGGTTTGGTTGAGGCAACATGACAGTTATTTTCTCGTCTTTACTTGCTCTGCTCAGAGGAGAGGCAGGTGAAAAGCAGGCACAAAGACGCTGTTTAAAAGAATGAATGTTTCGCTTTAATACTCACCCTGATACTAAACTAGTGCCTCCTCCCTCATAAAGAAAGCAAATTAATCCTTTAATTTAAAGGGATCGTCACAAACATCAGTACTATGCAAAAAATTCCTGTGAAGACTTCCTCAATTTAAAAAGAAAAACACACAAACACACAATAAAACACCACCCTGCACATAATGGTATTTGTAATCTTGTTAATTTGCATACATGTAACTGGCATATTCACAGCTTGTTACAAAATAAATCTGAGCAGCTGTAACCAGCTAAACCAACAGGACGCCAGCAGTAAAACTACTGCCAGTTACTAATCATTATTAGTATAGTATAGTAATGTTTTGTTTTATTATTTTGGGGTTTTAAATCACAAGGTTGGAGGCTTCTTGGAGACACAACATTTAATGTTAACATAAAACTTTTAATAGGTTTGGTGTGTATGTACATGTGACAGTTTTAAGGCAGAAGTTTACTTACAAAATAACATGCATGATTTTTTTTTTCGATAGCACACAGGTGAGGACCAAAGACAGCATCGCTGCCATCCTGTGGTGTACAGGAAACACTGCTCATTAAAGAGAAGCACGATTATGTTTTTCTGTACTCCTCAACAACGATTCAACATCTTAAACTGCGGCATTTTTTAAAACAGTCATGTCTTCTTCTGTTCTGTTTTGTTGTTGTTTTCTTGTTTTTTGAATAGCAGAACTTGGGAGGCTAAAACTAAAACACACAATTTCTCATGTTCACACAAACGGGCAGCAAAAAAAAAGAAGAAAAGGAGGAAGTGAGATGGACAGTACAGCTTGTCTATATAAAAAAAAGAGTTTATATTTATATATATAAAAATATCAAGCAAAAATCACTCTTTTTTCAGTTACTGGGTATTATAATATAAAATATCTCTGAAGCTTTACCGCTGTCAAACTGAGTTTGTGTTAATGTTAAATATACGAGCAATGAAAGTATGTCATGCAACAAGGAAAAAGCATTTCTCGCAATCTCCCCTTTCTGGCCTCAACTTCCCTGTTTGTGACTCCTTCCAAACTTCCTCTAGAATCTCTAAAAGCAAAAGGGAAATAACCTGTGATGTACAAAATCTCATACATTCTTGAAGACCTAAGCTGAGTATGATGTGCAACATTTAATTACAAAGAGAGAAAGAAGTCCTTCGTCATATCACTTCTTCATGCCGATTGTTTCATATGTGTCCGTTGCATGAGGAGTGAGACCCTGAGGGGGAGGATGAGGAGAATTTCAGTCCATAATTCATTAAATATAATTATAATAATAATCCAGCATTCGACTATCTGCTGGTTTTCTTCTCTTTGACATGTTGATAGCACAACAACTCACCGTATATATGCCCTCTTCAACATTCTGACAAAGAAAGCGGAGAGAAAAATGTCAGATACAGTAGAAATTAAAGAAATCGGACATTGTAATGACGGGCTTTTTTGGTTCTTAGTAACTAGTTACAGATCTGAGAAAAAAAATAGAAGCCAGTAAGCAACACATGAGTGGCTTAGGCGGTGCAAAGTTTGTGGCTAGCAATAGGAAATTAATAGACTTAAAAAGGGGGTAAAGCAGCGCACCAGTTTTGCATGAGAAAAAGAACACTATCTATCTCTGTATCCTGTGCAAGTCAGATTTTTGACAGAAAGAAAAAAAACTGTCACTGAAGCTGCTGCTTGTGGATTAAATTTAGAACTGCGGATATTTATAAAACTGTCTTGGCTTCATGTAAATGTTAAATGTCCACGTAGCTAAAACCAGATTCTTTGGCTGTAAGTGACACCCTGTTCATTTTCTAAACCTTCCCAGAGCGACAGATGTCTACACGAGCTCGAAAGTAAGCTGAGTAGTAAGTCCTTCATAGAGATTTGGATTAAATATGTCATGAACTAAGTAGACGTGGTTGTATGCGGCTATGGTGTGGCAGCTTCATCCTTCAGTTTCTGCTCCATTTTCAGACCTCAGGGTTTGTCCACTGAGGTTTGACCTGGCCAATGAGCTCATCTTTGTCTCTGGTGAAGTTCTGCCTTCTGGTTGTTTCCTGAAACGCTACTTTTGTGCTGTGGTGTGTATGTGTCGCTGCTGTCTGCAGTTTAGACAGCGTGTTGCTTCTTTGTGCCTGTGTCAGTAAGGTATGCACTTGTGTGTCTGCATCCATTCTCACCCCCTTCGGCTTTCCTTTCCCAGCGGCCTCTTTAGCATTGGAGATCTGTAGAAGGCAAAGTTAGGGATCATTAAAGAAAAACTACAGTAACGTTTGAGTATAACCCTAAAGGTATGGTAAGCTATACGTGCATTTCCTGTTGTCACTTTAGAGTTAGCAACATTACACACGCTTTAGATATATCTTCTTTCGTTTGTCACAAATAAAGGAAGTGCAGTGCAGTAAGATAATGACCAAGTACTTGTGCTGCAAAAATAGTTTAAATCTAAAATCATCACTGTCAGCATGTAGAAGTACCACAGTCAAGAGAATATTTTTATAGCCATCTTAAGAGTTTGTGTGCTTTACTTTGCTGATAGCCTACTGTAGATACATTTCAACTTTCTTGGATACAACTTTTATGAAAACCGTATATTAGTGTTGATGTAGGCTTCTGCAAAGATATATACATTTATATCGTATGCAAACCTTGACTTTGCAGTAGAGAGCTGTCAGGATGATCCCGTACAGAAACAGGATGCCATCCAGGATATAACAGATCTGGGGCTCAGCAAGAGCCGCTGAGAAAACACAAGGGAATGTCGTTAGCAGATTAGATTAGATCATATATTCATTTAAAATGATTATATATCATTGATATATCACTTATATCAGCGATAACACGGTTTTGTTGGGTAATGGCGCTGCCACCACTTTAGACTGAGAAACAGCGATGGCAGCAAGTTCTGTGCAACTGCAGAACGCTGTCTGTCGGTCAGTCTGCAACATGTAACATGTTTAAATGTATCCATAAATACATTCAAATAGCATAAGATATGGGGGTATGTTGCCTTTTTTTAATGCTGTGTCTTATCTGTGCCTTATCTGTGCTCTCAGTTGATCGACTACTGTGATTAACAAACAGCATGGGAGGAAAACTTCAAATATGCGCTACACAGTACTCAACAGTTTTAACACTATAATCATTCAAAAACCTTTCATATTGCAAAAATTACAAGCAAACTGTCTACAAATAACTAGGACTGGATCGTATCTTTCAACGACCAACATCTGTCTGACTGTAGAAGATACAACAAAAATCCTTAATGCTGTTATCTGTGCTCTCAGTTGATCGTCTACTAAAAGAAGTGTGACTAACAAACAGCATGGGAGGAACACTTCAAATATGTTCAGGCCTAAAGTTTAAAGTGAATAAGAACCTACGCTACAATATTCAACAGGCTCTTCTCGCTGCACGTTTGCCACATAGTGGAAGCACTGAACAGTACTCAGATAGTTTTAACTCTATGATCATATAAAAACCTCTTTTATCTTGCAGAAATTACAAGCAAAGTGTCGACAAACAAACAAAAGGACTGGGTCATGTTTTGACATCACAAACATCTGACTGACTGTAGAAGATGCAACAAGCGGCCTTAAAAAGCATTGATCTTACATTACAGTACTTTGAAGGTTGTGTGTAATTTCAATATTGTGCGATCGTGTCACATTCAGTCATTTATAATCCATAAAAGTGTTGATAAATCTAAAACTGTTCTGGATATAAGAAATTCAAGAAATTGACCTTTCTTAAAATAAGTATTTTTTAGAATTATAAGTAATTATTGCCCAAATAATTCCGTTTTTGTACTAGTCTCTTTTTTTTTTGACAGCTACTTTGTTTTTCAAGGAACTAAAACTTACGTGATTACAAAGATCCCGTGTAACTTTAGATTGGGTAGATGAAAAGAGAAGTTTTGTCTTATGACTCCAAAAACAGCTATTGGCCAGTCAAAGCACGGAGGGTTGGATTTCCTCAAATTTGCTCAAATTTTCAGATGGAAAAGATGAGATCATAGGAAGAATTTGTCAAAAAGTCTGAATGGTTTATAATTAACTTTTAATAATGGCTTTTCTTATTAAGGCTGAAAGTATACACTGAAGGTATATTAAGGCCTTTAAAACTTTGATGTGTACACAGTTATTTGCAGTTGGATGAAAGGATGATGTCTTCATTGTGAATTTCCCCAGACAGCTAACGTCATTTTGGTCTGTTCCTTCCTTCACAATTTGTTTCGCTCTTCTCATAAATTCACTTCTCTAAAATCTCTGATCACATGACGGCTGTGCACACAGAGACTCGCTTCCAAACAGTGTGATGTAAAGTTGGACCGCCACTAAATTTCTGCCACACGTGTAACAGACATGCTTGCTCTCAGGTGTATCCATTACTTTTGCATGTGATCTTAAAATGTTGCGGTTTATCTTTACTTTTTCTTGGCATCTTTGGTTTTTCATAAGCAGTGTTGGGTTCTTAAGAAATGTAAGTCGCCTGACGGCTATTGGTTTGATAGTGATGTAGTGACACTTTTTTCTTTCCTGACTTCTGGGGCATCAGCAGTGAGCACAGCAATTCAAAATAAAAATAAAAATCACTGAGACCCTTTTACTTTTTTTCCTTTTGCATTAGAACTGCAGGGTACTCAGGAAACATGAAGAGATTTTTTTCTTTAAGAATTTTATACCAGTTGTTGACTAGCTGTAGGCCGCTCAGATGGAACCAGACATTTGCACCTTATTTAAGGTGCAAATGTCTCTTACACGGTTAATCTGTTCAGTGTTTTGAGACAACAAAATGCAAACTGCAAATGTTTAGGGATAAAAGTACGAAACTGTTCCCTGCTACCTTCTCACTTATGTTCTTCAAATAAATAAAACATCTTTTTTCTTTAAAAAAAAATAAAAATCATAATCCACATTTGCATAAAGACAAACATCGACATTTGACAACCATTAAAAAGTCAAAAAAATATCCCAGAATGATCTCACAGCAACTTCACCAGACGCGTTTCCGTCTGCAAAATTAATGGCCGATTTAGGGGCCGACAACCTGTACGTGTTTCAGCTTAGCCTGTAAAAATGTGTTTATTTGATCCCATTAACTGTTGGTTGTATTTGATTAAAAACGGAACAGTGTGATTTTATTTCTCTTTTACTTAACAAAAAAAAAAAAAGAAGATTTTTGCACATACACCGTCAGAGACAAGTTTCCCATATTTGGAGGGAGCTGAATTTGTTACATACGCAGAAGTGGCTGAACAAATACAGAAGCTGCTACTGGCCATATAGACCAGCATCCACACCCCTTGCCACAAGCAACAAACTCAGCAGGGTCAGTTTCTCTTCTCACAGGAACTAAAATGTGGTAAATACATCTGCTGCCTACACTGAGCGGAATAAGGCCAAATGTCAGAAAACCTCAGTGTTCTCTAACTTTCGGTAAACAGGATAGTGTAGTTAAAGAAATGCTGTTTAATTGAACAGGAGTTGAATCTAGTCAACCACATAATGAAAACACATCATGTTCATCCTGATTAACTTTACACCTCCGTTCACCCAAAATCTGTTCATTTTTCTCGGAAACTGAAACCAAGCGCGAGATCTCTGGACATTAAATCTGGTGATATAAAAACAAAGCGTTCCAGTATTTGTGTCAACTCACCGGCTCTCCCAAAACACATCCACAGAGGAATGGCCACCAGCATTTGGTTCCTGCACCACCCAGCCATGATAACACAGGCTCGACACGGATAATCAGCTCCTTGAACAGCGAGCAAACACGACTGCTTGGTGCGTTTTTTTTTTCCGCTAAAGACTTCGACTACTGCATACCCAGCTTTACAGCTCAGAGGGGAAGTTGTGGTCTGAGCTCTAAGTCCATTTGTCTCAGATCTCATCAGACCACTCCCCCTGTTAACACCAACCAAGAGGAAAGACTTCACTCAGGCGTCGGTGTCTGCTGTCATCTTTAATACTTTATTTGTTTTCAGGCGGCACAAGAGCGTGGAAAGAAAAAAAGAAAAAAAAGAGGGTGTTTTAGACTTTACGAAGCCTTAAGATGTCAACTTATCGCAGTGGGACAAAGAAAACAGATGCGTTTACTGTTCAGACATAAAATATTTATTAGGTTGATTTGGGCATTGTACATGAATGGTGATAAACGAAGCCGCCTGTCAAAAAGCTCACTACAGTGAAAAGAGAACAGGAAGAAAGCCCGTCTGACAAGATAGTGGTGTGACAGAGAGAGAGAGTCCTCGCTGGGGAAGCGACACATTAAGAGTATCGCTTTAACGGTCCACCTCTCCAAACACTATGTCCTGCGTACCTGCAAGAAGATAACACTCGATGTGAAGCAGCTCCGTTTGCACGCTCGCTTCTGCATGTCTGCAAGTATTAAGTTATTGTGACATTCTCACCAATGATGGCCACCACATCTGCCAACATGTGTCCTTTGGCCATTTTATCCAGACCGGCCTATAAAGAAGCAAACATGAAGTAACATTTAGAGCAAGTGAAGCTTCCAGTATGCACGAGAGCACAAAAGTTGTCTTAATTCATGAGATTATAGCCTCGAGTTATCACAGTAACGACTCAATTAGTTTGTTTATGCAACTTCAAACACATTTTTAGCCTTGTAAACCCAAATTCTAATGACGACGTTCAACTGCATTAGCTCGTTTACCCATGAGCTAAGACGAACAGGAAGGAAGCCGAGGAGAGCTTTGGACAAAAAAAAAAAAAAAACAACTGCTCCGTAACGCTTAATAAAATATAGTTAATGAAGTCAAAGTAGCCTAGAGGACAAGCCGTTAAATGAGCTGAATAATTGATGGTGGGAGTATTTAATATTTCACAGTGTCGTGTGAAATTTTTAAGTACGCACCAAGTGAGCGAATCCAGGGGCTTTGATCTTGCAGCGATAGGGTCTGCTGGAGCCGTCTGAAACCATATATACACCAAACTCTCCCTGCAAGCCACGCACACACAGACACACACACACACTCCAATAAGCATATTACACCACAACAAAGTCCCATCTAATTAAGACTCAAAAAGCCTTAGTCGTACACTTTGATGACTGCACAATTTGTCCTTATACTCTACACTGAGTGCTCTCACCTTAGGTGCCTCCACAGCTGTGTATGTGGCCCCTGGGGGGACCTGGTAGCCCTCTGTGTACAGTTTAAAGTGGTGAATCAGAGACTCCATGGACATCTAGCAAAATTAAGTTTGTGGGGGGGAAAGCATAAAAAGAAAAGTGCATCAGTGTATATTGAGGGAATGTTAACATTACAATGGTGAGGGGAAGTACAGGTGGTTTCCAGCCTTAAGTGCAGCCAAATTTAATTGAGTTTTACAATAAAACTGTCCTAACTCTGAAAAAGGACGAGTGAACACAAATTAACAAGAAATTGAAATAACACACGAGTGATGAAATACAGAGAAGAACGTAAATAGCAAAAGAGGAAACCTCTCTACTCAACACACCTTCATCTCAGACCTCTTAGGCGGAGCCACTTTGGCATCATCCACCTTTATCTCGCCCTCTGGCATCTTGTTCATCGCCTGGTGCATGATCCTCAGGGACTGCCTCATCTCCTCCACTCTGCACAGATACCTGAGCCGCACACATACACACACAAGTAGCAGTAAACCACAGGACTGATGTTGCTCTACGCCACTACACGATATACACCTCAAACACTCTGCAGAGAAGGTGGAGGGCAGACGTTAGCAGCTCAGTCTGGCATCATCATGCTCAGAGTGCATTACACAACTACAGTACTACGGCATAGTATAGTACAGGAAATCGACCTGAAGGAGAAAAAAAATAGTTCCCAGGGCCATTTTGACTGATTAAAACAGAAGTGGATGTGTTCCACTCATGCCAGTGAGACTGGTGAACCACAATGTGCTTTGTACGCAGCCACATGTTTAGTCACTCCAAGAGGGTGATCAGAAAATAGGTCAAACTCTGTGGACAAACGAGGTCGCCAACTTCTGCCGTCTGTGAGTGACGGCTCATTCTGATTATTTATGCTGCATTCATGAAAGCCAGGAGCATCAAGCTCTCACCGTGTAGGCACGTAAACCAGGATTCCTTTTAAACACAGTTGGCCAATAATGTCTCTGTGAAGCTTTCTGTTGCTAGGCTCAACGTCTGAGTTTTAAACTGGGTGACATATTTACTGCTAAATTTACATCGTGTTGCTTTGATCAGAAACAGAGATATGCGCCATGGCAGCTGCCGAGTGGTAAGACCTGGTTCTATATACAGCCTTTTGTAAAAAAGCAACAGATAAACTCACATAAATCACAAGTATTTCATTTCAAAAAGACTAAACTGCTCAATAATAAGAGACAGTAGAAGAATATATATATAATAAAGAGACCAAATATTCTTCTGGCGTGCTCATACCCGGGCTGCTATAGAGAAGACTCGGGCTGTTTGTCTGGAGGAGTCTTACCTGTCATAGCAGTCTCCATTGCTTCCAATCGGAACGTCAAATTCCACTTCATCGTACTTGTCATATGGCTGAGACTTCCTCAGGTCCCACTTGATTCCAGACCCTCGTAACATGACTCCACTGGTGGTGGAAAAAGCAGAGTGATGCATTTCAAGGTTTACAAACACATGTATTTCTAGCAGCTTCCAGAAGGAGACTATTTAAATGAATTATACAAACTGATTTTATAAGTTTGTGGCAGATTGCACCATTATTAAGACTGAAAACACGCGTTGCCTCTGACACAGCAGTGTCACTTCCCTTTAGGAGGGTTTGTTTATTCATTTAGAATGCATTTATAACAGCTCACTACTGTGCAAGTGAAGCCATCATTGTCATCAGTGTAACTTAATTTTCTAATATGTCAGTGAACTTTCATTTATGGGTTACCTGAAACCGTAGTTGAGGGCCTCCTCAGCAGAAACCACTCCGATGTCCACAGTGCGATTCTTCCAGATACGATTGTTGGTCAGCATCTGCATGAAGGAAATCCAACATGAATGTCACTTTAAATTTACTGCATCCACAAGCTCCACACGCCCATCGTGCTTGAGCTCACTGAGAGCTCGTGGAGAACTGAGGAGAACATGGAGTCATTCACCTCTTCAACTTCATCAATCCGAATGGAGAAATTCTTACACCACTCATAGATGTCATCCATCAGGCCAAGAGGCAAATCCTGAAACATATTCAAATGCAACAATATTATACTGATCTTTAGATTTCATCTCTCATCTATCTATCTATATCTATCTATATGTATCTATAGATAGATTTTAAAAAGCATGTTTAGAGAAGTGTTGAACTTTCTAGTTATAAAAACGTAATGAATTCTTCTCCTACCTGATGTACGCCACCAGGCCTGACGTATGCAGCGTGCATCCTTGCTCCAGACACTCGCTCATAAAACTCAAACATCTGAGAGGAGACAAGAATTAAAGACTTAAAGAGAAAAGAAAAAGAAAAAAACCCCCACACATTTCCATGTACAGTAGTGTCACAGTCTCAGGATTAGTGGCAAAACTCATACGCTGGATTAGACGGCCTATTTTAAAAGAAAAGCTACAATCGTATGTACCAGTCGATAGGTTATCATTTCACTGATGAATGCTGTTACAATCAAACAACTGAGACTCTCAATGAGTAGACTGAGGCTGGTGCCACTGCAATCAAGTGTCTAGTCAACAGACACCGAATGCAAGACGTTTGAAGTTCAGTGTGAAGTTTCTAGACTTTGATTATTCGGGGTACCATTGTTTTATCAGCATATTAGTACTTTATGCAACCGTGTAGCCGTAGATTTTGGAGGACTGCGTATTCCACCTGTTGACAGGATTTATGATGATGCAGTTTTCATTTCACTAACACCAAATCCTTTGATGACCACTTACTACTGTGTTTGCTTGACTTGGCTGAACCCCTTAGTGAATTTGTGGGGTATTGTCAAAAAGAAGATAAGTAACACTCTGACCTAAAAACACAGACAACCCGAATCTCACTATCAAAGCAACCCGGAATTAAGTAACATCACCGTGGAGCCACAAACTCCTCATTTCATGCTACGCTGGATGTTGTAAACCAGGATTCTCTTCAGATCATCACATTGTATCGCCAGCAGAAGATTCAGACTCAAGCGGTTGACTCATTTTACAGTCCTGTCATTTTTGGGACACTTTCAGTGACTCAGTGAAAATGTGAAGTCAGACGTGGCCCACATCCTGACTCACACACAGGATATTGTTGAGTAAACACCTGAAGAGCTGGAGGTCACTGTGCCACTAACTGATGAGAACATAGCTACTGTTTATGAATCAAAGATACAGCGATTTTGGGAGCGGGCTTGACTCAACAAAAAAAAAAAAAAAACTAGAACAATCCCCAGATTAGAACCACAGTACACCTTGTGATTGTTGTTCCGTTACCTTCTCTCGCTCCTCGAACATCCAAAAGAAGGGAGTCATGGCGCCAATGTCGAGAGCATGTGTGGTGATGGCCATGATGTGGTTCAGGATGCGAGTCAACTCTCCATACAGCACTACAAACGACACAGAACAGAGCTCAACAAACTGGAAACAGGTTCCAGCTGCTCACTGGTGAAGTTTTACTTTACTTTCAGTTCAACACGTTTTGTTAGCGTCCACGTAAAATAAAAAAAAATAAAAAAATCTACTTAAACACTTCAATGCTTCTTGAAATTAGATTGGTGATTACTTGGTCAAACAATCAATTCAATCAGATACAAAAAAGCTCCAGGAACACTAACTGAGTGCAAGAACAGAGGGTCTGTTAGCTCTAGATAGCTCATATGTCAAGTTAACTCTTCACAAATAGAGCCTAAACATTAAAGGCAGGTACACAACACAACAGTCAACACAGTAGTTGACGCTTTTTGTTGCCAGACACGACTTTAAAGTGATCCTCTTTGAAACAAAACTACGACTCTGATCCTTGGTTCTCGCTGTTTCCT